TAGTAACCACAATGTTGCTCATGTGATTGTTTATTAATAATACCAAAAAAAAAAAAGCGAAGATAAAAAAAAACCCACTAGTGTAAGTTGGAACAGCCCCTGTGGAGGGCAGCTTGGTGCTGCCTGTCAGATTGCTAACACATCAACCCTTTGACCCAGCAGTTCCACTTGGAGGAAATCATCCTATAAGTGATACTTGCTGGTGTGTGAGATGACACACATGCAAGATTTTCCTGACAACAGATGAATAAAAGATTGGAAACAATCACTTGAAATGTCTGTCAAATTATGGTACTTTAATGAAATACTATTTGGCTATCAGGGGGAAAAAAAGTAGTTATCTATTGATCCAGCACTATCTCTGCGATATATTCTGAAATGCGAAAAAGGTTGAGAATAATAGGTAATGTTACCATTCATGCAAAAAATCAGGAAAAATATATTTTCGCAAAGTGTTGTATATACATTTAAAACCCTCTGGAAGGTTTTGAAAGCCTGGGAAGGTGGGAATGATACAGAAAGTACCCAGTTTTGAGGTTAGAAGTTAGCAAATGGGGCACATGAGTGGGAGAAGGCTTCAGCTTACTCCTTTTCATGGCTTTTTACTTTTGAAACTTGTGATTGCATTACTATCAAAAAAATTTGATTAGAGTATTTCTGAAGCAGTGAAATACTCTGTAGACATATGACAGCTTTTCTGGAGGAAAGAAGAAGCCTGTAGCCCAAGAGGAAGGAATCAGCCCCTGGTTCCCCTACCTGAGCTGGGATCCCCAGTTTGTGATGCTGTCAGAGCTGTGGGGACTTGGGAGTGTTGCCCACAAATGTCATGATTCTGGGATGCAGACTGACTGTCCTGCACTGATGGGCTGTCCACACAGAGGTGTCGTTCTGTCTGCCCCGCCTGGATCAGACTCAGGAGGCCTTTGGGGTGGTTCAGGTGGAGGCCAGGGGCCCACCGCTCATGGGCTCAGGTGCAGCACCGCCCCCCGTGGCTCCACCTGGGACTTGAGAGGAAGCCCTGCTTTTCCTGCCTCAGAGTCTCGCGGCGGAGGCCGATGGTGCCGGGATTGGTGGGGGAGTGTTGTAGAGCATGAAGGTTTGATTTGAGTTCTTCCCTTTATCCTTTTCATCTGTGGGTGGTAAGTTTAATTCATGCTTAGAATAGTCCCTCATGACTCTTAGGGCAGAAAAAAAACTAGTGGACTTTTTTTTTTAAACTTCATATAATCGACCATATTACAAAAGCATGACTTTCATATTTCATTCTTGCCGGTGACCTTTTAACATAATGAAGTGGCCATATGAGTCAAAGTCCTCCTTCACAGAGCAGTAGAGCTCCTTTGTGACACTTGGAGATGTCTTTCAGGTTAATTATTGGGGAATAATGTGTCCAGTTGTCACCCTGGCAGGTTTATTTGACCCTGGACCTTTTTACTAAGTGGGAGGGTGAACGAACAGGTGCCTTGTGCATTGACACTAATCCCAGCTGCGTCTTCCTGGCACAGTCTGCCTTTGCTAACAGGTCTGCAAGTCGGTGCTAAGAACAAACACCTCGGGGCAAGTTTGGCTTTATTATCTAGGGCGCAGGGCGAACCGCAGCTGGACGCTGTGCTCTGTGACATCACTGTTACGAAGCATATACGGTGCTGGACACATGCTGGGTGTTCCAGATTAGTGGACCCAGTCCCACTCTGGACCTTAAAATGCATCATTTATTATTATCTATTCATCTGAAAGGTGGTTGCAGGTTCCTAGGGCTAAGGACCATGAGCAACAGATCCGAAGTCTAGAAAAGTCATCTTCTCCAGGCACAGTCGCAGGGGGGCCATCAGGTTTGGAGAGAAATCTTCTCTCACCCCGTTTGGAGAGAAGTCTGCTGCACCCGTGGATGTTTTATTGCCCTTGTCTAGCTCGGATTAGCACATAGTCTACAGGCACACACCTGATCATCTACATTTGCCCTCTTACAGCACTAAACTATGTTTTCTACCTTTATCTTGCATCTACCTACCACTTCAGCATTTTATTTAAAAAAAATAATAATAATAAGGGAGAAATGCGGGATTCACTTATAAATCAAGTATAAAAATCAAACGAATATTCATATTTGACCTGATTGTTTCTAGTTCATAATGCGTGAGCAAAACCGAAAGTTTCTGTGATGACTGCCCTTGCACTGTTCACCATGTAAGAACTTATTCACTATGTAAGAACTTGTTCACCATGTAAGAACTTGTTTGTTATGCTTCAGAAGATTGGAGACTGTTGAGAATTAGGCTCGGGGTTGATTAATGATTGTGCATTGAGTCCCCTATACAGAATTTTATTGTTGTTAACAACCATTTGATCAATAAATATGAGAGATGCCCTCTCAAACAAAAAAAGTCATCTTCTCTAAAGGGGTTTATGGTGTTGGGGAGTGATGGGAAGAGCAAAGAAAGATCATCCCTGGGTTACAGGAGGCTGGTGGACTTCAGGCTCTGTAGAAAATGGCGAATTGGCTGGACAGACACATGAGGAGGTTCTCATGAGGGTAAATCGGGTGAAGGCCTTTGGGGCAGCTGGGGGTACCTCCTGTTGTTGGTATTACTTCCACACAAAAGTAGTCAACTTCTTTGGGCCGATTCACCAACGACTGCGTTTCTGTCCCCCAAGGCCACCAAAAGGAGCTTCTGAAGGGCCTTCCTGCTCTCTTCCAGGAGCAGGGAAGGGGGAAGGATCTGGGCTGGAGCAGCTGTGATGTCTTCCCCTATGCCCTCTGCAACCAGCCCCGGCAGGTCAGCTGTCAGGGGGCCTGGTGACGCCTGCTGCCAACCTCTTCTGGTCACCCCCGGGGCACCCTGCTGCTGCCCTGCAGTATAAATGAGCCCCTGTCAGGCCGTGTGGCTTTCAGTGCACACAGTTGCTAAAGCAGAGAACTGTTGATGCCATCCCACTTGCCCATAAGTCTTTCTGATTTTCTTGACAGGTTTAAGGGGCTCAAGCCGACTATTATCCTTCTCTCCCGAGGAATTTCCGACGCTGAAAGCAGCTGGAGGGCAGGACAAGGCTGGCAAAGAAAAGGGCGTCTTAGATCTGTCGTATGGGCCAGGACCAAGCCTCCGCCCTCAGAGTAAGTGGTCTGCAGCCCCTGTCTGGGCACACATGGGAATAACAGAGTTCCCCTCATCTTTCCCACCCTCTTGGAAGTCTGCCTGTTCGCAAAGAACCAGAGCTCCTGGGGTTATAGGCCTTCAAGCTGACCTCTGCATCTGTTGGCCTTAATTCTCTAGCTGGTCTGGAGGTCGCTTCTCCTTGTGCTTCGGGTCGGGCCAGGCCTGTGTGCCTTGTCCCAGCTGTCGTCAGATGTTGGCTCTGCTTTGCTGATGTGGTCAATGCAAGGATGGATGGACCAAGCGCCAGTTAACGTGGTGGTCCCTGATGTAGGATCTTGTTTTCTAAACCAGTGGTTCTCAAACCTGGCCAAATTCTGGCCGAATTCTGTCTGAACCACTTGGGGAGTTTGTTAAAAAGCCTGATTTTCAGTTCTCCCCTCTCCCCAGCCAAATTAGAATCTCTCCTTTTTAACGTGTCCCCCTGGGGATTGTTACACAGTGCCCAGCGTGAGTCTGCAGTCCCCTCCCTCATCCAGGGTCCGGCCACGCTGTCAGCAGTGCTGTGTAGTGGTACTTGCTGGTAACATTTTCTTCTTAGTGGCCCTGGGTGGCTAGAAACTAAGGTCATGTTCAGGAGTGAGATTTCCCATCTTTCGAATCAGATTCTGAAATGGCTCTTGTTCTTTTTTTCTTCGTATGGCTTGTGGGAACTTGATCAGGTCATGAAATATGAGGGACGTTTCTCTGCTTGTCTTGATGAACCAAGGTACCCTGCAGTCAGAACTGATATCCTGCAGGTGAACAGTCACTATGCAACTCCTAAGTAAAACACACTGCCTTTCCAGGAGCCTATGCTGGGTTATTTTGTCTGCTCTAAATGTGTAATCAAATTTCTTAGGCCAAGAACTGCAACTTTCTGGAAATAATTAAGATGAGCTGCTTTGTAGAACTATGAAAGTTTAGAACTAGAAGAGGCTTCTGGGATCATATGAGAAGCAGCAGTAGCTGGCTGGAGGGGTGGCCCCAGGGCTTGCCCCAGACCACACGAGGGGCTGAAGAGCTGAGGGTGGGCCCTGATGCTGTGGCTGTCTGGGGTCTCTTTCTCTGAGAGGTCAAGTACTCAAGGCCTTTGATTTTTCAACTCCTCACCAAAAGTTGAGTGAGAAAAGAGGAGTCTTTTTGGCTCATCTGATTTCTCGTTGGCCTATGATTCTAGCAGACCTTGCTACATTTGACAGTGGAAAGCATCATCTTAAAATAATAAATAGGTTGGCAGGTTTCAGTCTGTGACCTGCCGGAGGACCCTAGGGCCAGTGCAGGAGCAGGTGGGGGTGAAGGCCTTGGGCCCTGGGGGAGGGTGTGGGAGGACTGCTCTGCCTTATCTTATGAATGGGAAATCTGACCAGAGGTGCCACCATTAAACAGAGGCTAGAAATGTGGCAGGAGGTTTCTCTGGTTTTAACATGACGTCTAGGGCTGAGCGCGGTGCTGACCCTGAGGGGGCTGGGTGCGTCTTTGTCACTTTGAAGTCACTTTGAAGAAGTGACTTAAGGCTCTTTTCGTGGGGCTGGTTTGGTTTCTTTGGGGTGCTGGCTCTGTGGGTGTATGTGGGTGTTGTAGCTCATGCCCATTTCCTTTCACACCTGCCCCCTCTCTGCATGGACCTTATTTTGTTTCTCTGGCAATCAGAGTTCCTCAGCAAGCTCATACTTGCTGGCCAAGTGTCCGCCCCCACCCTCCCTGACAGACTGACCGGTTCCCTCTACCCTTTACACTTGGGGTTTTTGTTTTTTATTTTTCAGTCAATGAGGGGGTCCCTTGACCTTCAGAACCTCATACAATCCCTCCTCCCCGCTCCTCTTTCCTCTCCCCTTTTGCCCCCTTTCGATTTCCAGATGTGACAAGCTGGAGGGAGGGCGGTGGGCGAAACATAATTTCTGCCACGTCTCTGAGCGCCTCCCCAACTGAGCTGGGCAGCAGGAACTCGAGTGCAGGAGACGGAGCCCCCTCCTCGGCATGTACCAGCGATTCTAAGGACCCCTCTCTCCGCCCGGCTCAGCCTGTCCGCAAAGGGGCTTCACAGTTCATGGGAAATGTATACCACCCACCTACATACCATGACATGCTTCCTGCTTTTGTAAGTCTTCAGAGTGTGCATTTTTTTCCCCATTTAGTTGGATTGTTTGTGTCCAGCTGAACCTACTTTAAGTGGTTGAATGTCCACCTTGGGTTTTCCCTCCCAATTTCTTTGTCCTAATAGCCTGTTCTGGAGGTTTCCATTACTTTTGCTTTTTCCCTTCCCCTTTTCAAATCTTAAGGGCCTCTGGCTTCTTTCCTGGCGATGTGGATATTATTTTAGCGTTGGTTCTTTAGAAAAAGGAGAGGCAGGTATTTCCAAAGACACAAGACCCCAGGTTTACTTACAGCAGGAAAGAAATGGGGGAGATGGTGGTAGGGTCAGTTGGGAATCCCCAAGACTTTCCTGTTTCTTTTTCCCATTTTCCATTTCTAAAACAAATTTTAATGCAAGTGAAAACCACTTAGAATTTGGGCCATTACCAGACAATCTTGTTCATTGATGTTATGTTTCAGATGTGTTCACCACAGTCATCAGAGAACCAGGGTGCAGTGGAGCGAGGATCCTTTCCCCTCCCCCAGCTCCGTCTTGAGCCCCGAGTTCCTTTTAGACAGTTCCAGATGAACGACCAAGATGGGTAAGCAGATTGCATTTTAGTCACGTATGTAGAGATTACCCCTGGTGGTGATACTGGACAACGGGCTGGCATGAGAGTGCTGTGTCTTTTGGAGACCACAGTAAACCTAAAACCAACTCAGAGCCCCAGGGTGTGTGGGATGGCTGGGATCTGGGACTGGAAGGGAGTTTGGGTTATGATTCTAGGTTCCTGATAGTTGAAGTTTTGGCAGCTGCTACTTTAGGCATTAATGAGCATATAAAACTTCAGGATGAGGCAGAACTTCTCTCTGGAATTTATTTGTTCATTATCTATTTCTTTTAAAAGGAGTTGATTAGATATTAAATGCAAACATGAACCTTTGTAGTATAGGACTTATTCCTGGAAATGCATTCGGCTCTGCTTCCATCTATGTACTTGACACGACTTCAGCATCTTTGCTCTTGTCTCTCACCCCAGAAAAGAAAACAGGCTGGGAACGACTCGCCCGATCCGTCCGCTAAGGCAGCTGGTGGAGCGGGCGCCCCGGCCCACCATCATCAATGCGGAAAACCTGAAGGGCCTCGATGACCTGGACACCGACGCTGATGATGGCTGGGCAGGTGGGTTGGGGTGTCCCTGGTGGGCTGTAAGCTTTCGGTTTAGAAGGGCAGGACTGAAGCCCATCTCTGCTTGCCAGGGCAAGCCGGAATGAAGACAGGGGCAGGGGGCAGCTCCAGTGTCTCCAGACCCTCATGGGCAGCCAGACCCAGTGGTTCTTTCCTGACCAAGCTGGAGGATCTTCTTTTGGTCTTTGGAGACATTGTTAACTTTTTTAAAAAGAGTGTTTCTAATGGGAAAAGCAAAACAAGATGATGTGGTGAATCCCCAGCTACCCATCACCCAGCTTCAGCAAATATCAACTGGGTTCTGCCATTCCTGTTTATCTTCACCCACCATGTCCCCCAGCCTGTTTTCTTTTAAAATTCTTTATGTTTTCAAGTAAATTTTAAGTACTTTAAAAGACACTTATTAATTGTACAGTTTTTATAAGAGGACACCCCGTGTAACGCATCCCCTGCCAAGATGCAGAACGTAGCCCTCACCAGTCAGTCCCTCCCCTCTCATAGCGAATCTTCTGAGCCGAGTTTTGCTGGTTAACCTGGGTAATGTTTTTAAGATTTATCTATGCTGTATATAGCAGTAGTTGCTTTTAATTACTGAGATAGATTTCATTGTAGCAATATAATTTGTTTATCCATTCAGATGTTCCCTTATGAATAATGCTTTCATTTCCCTGGAGTAAATGTCTAGGGGTGGCATTGGTGGGTCGCAGGCTAGGTGTGTGATGAGGTTCGCCAGCCAGACCACCCAAATCTTTCTCCACAGTGGTCATGCCATTTCAGTCCCAGCAGCAACGCATGAGAATTTGGTTCTTCATCCTCACAGCATTTCTGTGTTACTAGTATTTCTAGTTTTAGTTGTTCTCGTGGTTATGTAGTGGTATCTTTTAACTGTGCTTTTAATTTTCATTTTGCTGATGAGTATTGATGAAGAACACATTTTTACCTACTGTTCCATGTGCTTTTTTCCTTTCTTTTTGAGTGGTATACAAGTCGTGAATAAAAGTTCTTTGCAGTTTAACATTTCACAAATACTGTTTTCCTATTGTTCCCCTGGACCATTTTTTAGCACTGTATTTTGATGAGCAGAAGCACTTAATTTTGATGAAGTTTATTTGTAAATTTTTTTTAATTGTTACTATTTTGTGTCCTGTCTAAAAGTCATTGTCTGCCCATGCTAAAGATGTCCTTTTATTCTTATAGCTTTAACTCTTACTTTTGGGCGTGTAACCCAGATTGAGTTAATTGTATGTGTGATGTGAGATAGAAGAGTTGGTATTTGCTTTAATCCACAAGGAAGTCCAGTTGTTTTGCACCACCTGTTGATAAGACTTTCCTTATTGAACTGCTTTGGCACCTTTGTCAAAAATCAATAGATCATATAAGCGTGGGTCTGTTTCTGTACCCTGTTTGTTCCATTATCTGTTTATTCATCCTATGCTAATACCATACTCTAGCTTTATAGTAAGTTTTAAATTCAGATAGTAAAAGTTTTCCAGCTTTGTTCTTTTTCAAGATTATTTGACTATTCTATGTTCTGTCCATTCCCATATAAATTTATAGAGTCAGCCTGTCAGTATTTATAAAAAGCCTGCAGCATTTTGGTTAGGATTGTGTTGGATTTATTTCTGGATAAAAGGTGTCTTGGTTTTGAGTCTTCATCCAGGAACTTGGCGAATCTCTGTTAGGTTTTTCATTTATCTCAGCCGTGTTTTATAGCTTTCAGTGTAGAAGTCTTAAACATTTTCTGTTAAGCTTATTCCTAACTATTTTATATTTTTTGATGCTATTATAAGTGGCATTGGCTTTTTTAAAAAATCATTTTTTGTTTGATTTTATTAATGGAGAAATACAGTGGATTTTTGTGTGTTGACCTTGTACCGGACACTTTGGTGAAAGTGCTCTTTAGTTTTACTTGTTTTTGTTGGATTCTTAGGACTTTCTATATAAACCATCATGCTGCTTCTTGTTACAACAATTTTGTCTTCTTTTTCAGATTATATTATGCCTTTTATTTCGTGTTCTTGCCTTATTGCAGAGTGGTACTTCCAGTGCAATTTTGTATTCAGGTTCTTTATTTCTCATCTTTGGGGGAAAGTATTCAGTGTTTCACCAATAAATATGTTAGCTCTGGGGCTTTGGTGATGTTCTTTATCAGATTGAGGAGCTTCCCTTCTATTTTTAAATAGCTGAATGTTTTGTATTTTAAAATCATGAGTAAGTATCAAATTTAGTTACTTTTCCTGTCTCTGTGATGATACGACTTTTCTCCCTTAGTTTGGTAGTCTTGTGGATTGCATTTATTTATTTATTTATTTATTTATTTTTATTACAGTATCATTAATATACAATCACACGAGCAACATTGTGGTTACTAGATTCCCCCCATTATCCAGTCTCCCCCACATACCCCGTTACAGTCACTGACTATCAGCGTGGTAAGATGCTGTAGAACACTCCTTGTCTTCTCTGTGCTATACTGCCTTCTGATTTATTTTTTTAATGCTAAACTGTGTTTGCATTTCTAGAATAAACTCCTTTTTGCATGCCTCGATTCAGTTTGCTGGTGCTTTGTTAAGGTTTTGGTGTCTGTATTCATGGCAGATATCAGTCTGTAATTTCCTTTTAGTATTTTTGTTGGGTTTTGATATCAGGTTATGCTGGGCTCCGATGAGTTAGAAAACATTCCTTCCCTTTCTACTTTCTGAAAGAGTTTCCATAAGATTAGCATTTCTTCTATATGTTCTTGATAAACAAATTGGCCCTGGAGTTTTCTTTGCAGAGACATTTGTGATAATAAATTTAATTTCTTTGATTAGTTATGGAGCTGCTCAGATTTCCTATGTTTTTTTGTGTCAGTATTTGGTAAGTTTTTTCAAGGGATTCACTTTTTTTTAGTTTAATTTTTATTGGTGTAAAGTTGTTGATAATTTTTTTCCTTCTGATACTTGTGGGAACTATACTGATACACTGTCATTGCTGATAATTAGGTAATTTGTGTTTTTTCTCTTTTTCTTGTTCACTTTTGCCAAGACCTTATTAGTTTTATTAATTTTCACAAAGAGGCAGCTTTTAGCTTTAATTTTCTCCATTGATTTATTGTTTTCTATTTCATTAATCTGTTCATTTTAATTATTGGGGCTTTCTAGGCTTCTAATTCCATGATAGAGAGCATGCTGTGTACGATTTCAGTTCTTTTCAGCTTGTTGAGACTTGTTTTATGACCAGGATATGGTCTATCTGGTGAATATTCCAAGTGCATTTGAAAAGAATGTATATTCTACATTTGTTGGGTATCATGTTCTATAAATGTCAAGTTAGTCAAGAGGTTGATAGTGGTGTTCAGATCTTACATACTAACTGATATTTTTGTCTAGTTCCACCAGTTACTGAAAGTGAGGTGTTAAACTCTCCAGTATAGTTGTGGACTTACCTATTTCTCTCTTTAATTCTTTCAGTTTTCATTTCATTTATTTTGACGCTGTTACTAGGCATTTGCACATTATAATTTTTGTGACCCTGCACATACCCTTTGTATTGTTTTCAAATGTTCTTTATTTCTAGGTGGGCTTCTTGTCTTGGACTCTGGTTTGTCCAGTGTTAATATCATTGCTCTAACTTCAGTTACTTATTGTTTTCTTCATATATCTTTTTGGATCTTTTTCCATTCAGCCCATTGTGTTTGTGTTTACAGTGATCTGGGAGACAGCCTGCAGCTCTGCTGCCTTTTCATCGACTCTAACTCTGCCTTTTAATTGGATTGGGCTTTTTGTTTCCTTTTTTTTTTTAAGATGTAACTCACGTAACACATTTTTGTGTGACATAAAATTTCATCCTTCTAAAATCTACAATTTAGTGATTTTTAGTATATTCACAAGTTTGTACAACCGTCTCCACTATTCAATTCCAGAAGGTTTTCATCATCCACAAAAGAAGCCTGTGCCCATTAGCGGTCACTCCCGGCTACCACCTCTCTCTTCGCATGCATCCTCGGGCAGCCACCAGTCTTCTGTCTCTGTTGCTTTGCATATTCTGGACATTTCATATAAATGGAATCACACAGTATAACATATGGCCTTTTCAACATTTATCGTGTTGTTGCACATGTCGGTGGCCAAACGCCATTCCACCGTATGGATTTACCGCATTTTGCGCCCCTACTCCTCAGCTGATGGGCTGAGGGGGGTTGGGGAGTGCCCTGGGACAAAACCGGCGACTCGTAGATCTCATCCCTCAGGTTTCTGAGTTGCTAGGGTTAGACTGGGTCTGTTTTGCCTGCTTTATGTTCACTCTCCTGCCCTTTCTCATACATTGGCAAACTGTTTTGTCCAGACTTAAGAACTGTTACCTGTGGGAGGGTTATTCTGGCCAGGCTGCTTTGCTGTTACCAGAAGCCAGAGCTGTCCTTGCCTTTTATCTGCAGCGTTTGTTCTGGTGGTTTGCCTTACTCTTCAGTTGGGCTGGCATCCTTCCTGACCGGAGGGAGCGCCCCCACCGATGGTGCTCCTAGCACTGTGGAGCTTCTCGTTCTTTCTCACTCTCCTTGGCCCTCCTCCTGTTGTAGGCCTCCATGAGGAAGTGGACTATTCTGAGAAACTGAAGTTCAGTGATGATGAAGAGGAGGAAGAGGTTGTGAAGGATGGCAGGCCAAAATGGTAAGGATCTGCACCCCTGCTCGTAGCACTGCCCCTGGAACTTGACGCGGCAGGATGTAAGTGCGTCAGTGCTTACTGGTGCTGCCAGGTGCCATTCCCCAGGCCAGGCACACTTCCTAGTCCCCCCAGCAGCCTCTTGGGGGCAGATATTGTTTCTGTTTTATAGATGATAGGGCGATGGCCACTGAGGACAGGTGTTGAGGAGTGAGCCAGGATTTACTTCCAGACATGGCTGGCTGGCTGAGTCCTGGTGACTAACTGCTGTGCCAGTATTTTCCCGAGTGTGTTGTGTAGATCGCTTGTTCTGCAGATTGCTTACTGCTGTGGTACCCAAAAAGGGTTTTCTGGCCAAGTGAGTCTAGGAAACCACCCTGGGTCCAACTACTCCCTAACTCCAGGGTCGTCCAGAACCCAGGGTGCCCTAAAGCATGTCGGGAATTTGGGGAGAGGAGACGGGCAGTAAGAGCAAGGTATGGCAGATTTCCTAAACTTATTTGACCAAATCTTCACTCTGTTTTTTGATCATTTCACTGGACTCGTTTTCTCAGATCTCCCTTTGGAAAATCCTTCATTTAGTCCCTCTAGTTTTTATCACAATATCAGTGGCACTGGCTAGTGCTTTTAAAATAGTACCTATGGTTGCTTTAATGTAAATATTTTTCAGTAACAGCTTTCCTATTAATGCTTTCTTTTGTGTGGAATTGCCTATTTCCTTTGTGTATTTATCTGTTAGACTTAACTATGATAGGGTTTCCTAGAAGATGTAATTCATGTTTTTTAATGTTTTGGTACTTATGCTTTAATATTTTCCCCTCTATTATATCGTCAATAATTGAATATTTACATCGTTGAGTCTGCAAGTCTTTTTCTTTGTGTTTTCGTCTTTTGCTTCAAAGCTCCTCTTCTGGAGGAAGCTGGTAATGATCTTCTGCCATTCTTTCTCTGATGATATAAAAACATTTAGCTAATTGAGGCTCTGTAATTTATTTTAATGCTATTTGATTGTACCAAAGATTTGGATGCACTTGGGAAATATCTATGGGTCAGTTGTGGAAACACTAAGCTCTGAAAGAGATGTGTCCAAGAATTTAAATGAAAGGCAAAGACATAAAATTTTAGACTTATTAGAGCAGTAAGACACTTTGTTCCTTGTCTCTTTCATTTGATATGAATTGAATATTCAACTGAAAGAGTTAAACTTGGGTTTTGGACCTCACTTAGCTACTGGCTCTGACCAAGGACACCTTAAATTGAGAGTCCCCAAACCTAGCTCTATTTTGGATGCTTTCTGAGCTGGTTGTGAGCCTTCTACCACAAGCTCCCAAGCTTCTCTGACATCCTTGTTTCTCCTCTCGTGATGGGTTCCTGACACTTCCCTTGACTCCATCCCTTCCTGTTCATCGCCCCTGGGGACCAAGGGACCGGCCAGCTCTCTTCCCTAGACTATTCTGAGGTCAGACAGCTCATCTCCTTCCTTTCAGCTTATCCTTCACACTGTGCTCGGAACCTCTTCCGAAGGCAGAGATCTTCCCTGGCAGGCCAGGGCCCTTGGTGTGGTCTCCATGCCTTTCAGTGGGATGTCAGGAGTCATTAGCCATCGCTGCCCTGCTGTGACCTCCTGAGCCGCGTGACTGCCTCATCTGCCCTCACCTCATGTACACATGCGTACATGCACATGTGGACACACGCAGGCACATACATATTGGCCAGACTGGCCTCCCTGCTTTTCTCTGAACTCCTCCATGTGTACTGGGTGCTGCTTTGGCGTGGAAGACGTGCTTGGGAGGTGCATGTGCTGTGCCCCGGTGCCTTGTTTGTGCGGTGGGAGCACAAGGAGCAGCGCGTGTCCTCCCTCCTCTCTGAGCCTCCCGTAGCCCCCTTTGGACGCTCTCTCCCCTTCCCTGCTGTGTGGCTTTGTCCTCGTCTTGCTCGCTTTATTATGGCATCACTTGGTGAGCTGCCTTTTGCTGTTTTGAGGGGATTTGCTGAGCACATCCTTTGTGCCAAGCACAGAGCTGGAGTAAAGGAGAAGGACCTTCATGTGGGAGCCTTAATCACATCTGTTAACTCCTCCCTGGGAGAATGGCTCCCCCGCCTCTCTGAGACTCAGTTACCAACTCTTTAAAATGGGGCGAGTGAGGACAGGTTTTTGCAGTAAATGAAGTAATGGATGTGAAATGTCCTGCCTGGAGCTTGGTGGGTAGGTAGAGCTATTCTGATGAAGGAAATTGGCGTATAGAGAGCTGACTTCGAAATTTCCAAGGGTCTCTGACAAGGAAGCTCAGACCATGCCTGGCTGACTGGGAAAACTAACACTCATTGTGATTTGTCCTAGGAGCAGCTGGGACCCTAGAAGGCAGCGGCAGCTGTCATTGAGCTCTGTGGACAGTACTGATGCTAAGCGTACACCAGAGGAAGGAAAGGACTGGGGTGAAACAGTGGGCATGACCCGTGTTGTCCGGAAGGTGCCAGAACCTCAGCCACCTTCCAGGAAACTTCACAGCTGGGCATCAGGCCCTGACTACCAGGTACTGTGGGCATTGGTGGGGTTCTGCACCTGTGATTAGCAGGAGTGCACGCACACATGTGCTCTTTTCAGATTCTTGTGACCAGAGTTCCCAGACAGAGATGACAACAGGTCATCTGTCAGCTGGCCTGTGCACTGGTACTTCACTGGCTTCAGTGGCTGGGTTCTGAGAAGTCCTAGGTGGACCTTTTTTTTTCCTTTAAAATTTTCTTTTAAAACTTTGAAACAGTCACAAACTTATAGAAAAGTTGGAAATACAATACAAAGAACATTTTTTCTGAAACCTTTGAAAAGCAGGTTGCCAGCTCTGTCATCACAGAACACTTTGGTATCTATTTCCTACCCAAAAAATGGTAACCACAATCAAAATCAGGAAATTAGCATTTACATCACTGCCCTCTAATCCTCAGACCGCATTTAGCCTTTACCAGTTGTCCCCTAATGACCATGAAGCCTCCAGCTCAGGCCACATGCTTCTCGGTTGTCCTGTGTCCTGGTGCTCTCGGTCTGGAGAGCTGCTCAGCCTCTCCTTATCTTTTGTGACTGAAAATTTTGAAGATTAAAAGCCAGTTATTCTCATTGCCTCCTACCACGTGACCACAATTCCACCCTCTCCTGTGCTGACAACTTTCATTTTGATCTCTGGGTTAAGATGGTGTCTCTAAGTTTCACACTACAGAGTTACCATCTTCTGCGTTTTCAATGATGAGAATTTGTGTAGAGATACTTTTGAGACTATGAATATCCTATTCTCACCAAAATATGTTTTTATTTATTTTCATCAATGGGTTATAATCTTTTATTGTTTGTCTTAAAGCTCAAATTGTCTTTGATTTTGCTGTAAGAGCCTCTTCATGCTGGCATCTGTGTCCTTTTTATAGGTTTCCATCGTTTTTGAGCAGTTCTTGCTTCCTGATAGAACAAGCTTTTCCCAGTTCATTTTGTGCTCCCCCTGCCTTGGTCCTGGAATCAGCCCTTAGGATATTGAAAGACCAGTCTGTGGGCCCCAGGAGTGCTCACTGCCATTGGATGTTGCTGTTCCGTTCCAGTCAGGGAGTGTGTGTGCGTGAGCGCTCGCGCACACGCTCAGGGAGGGAGGGAGGGAGTGAGGGAGTGTGTGTGTGTGTGTGTGTTATCTTTATTTCTGTATCTACCCATATAGAAAACCATGATTCACAGTGATACCTCCAGTTCTACAGACTTTATCCTAGTCGTCTCCATTGCATATTTGTAACTCCTTTTGCAACAGTGCGAAACCTGTCTCCCGTTGTCCCTGGTGCTTAGACTGACTTGGTCGGTCCCTATTTGTGACCTGTGTCCTATTTCCAACACCACCCTCACAGGTGCCCTTCTTACCCACTGAGCTACCAGAGCCCTCCATGGGCGCCCTGAATTTCCCTGCTGGGCCACCTTTCCCTATGCCTTCCCTCCTCACCCAGCTTGCTTGGGCTCCACCTCCCACTCCAGCTATGTCTCCGCATGGACTCCCTTCTCACTCTTCCTGGGCTTTGACCCCTGCTCTGAGTCACCTTCGTCCCCTGACGACGGGTGCCTACCAGGTTGTGCCCATACCTCATGACTTTGGGAGTGAGTTGTTCGGGAGGGGTGGAAGTGGGCTGGGAAAGGCATTAGTTTAAGTACACTTGGGCAAAACTTGTCATTTTCAATGCGCTTTGCTATTTGAAGGGCTCCTGTCCTTCTCATAAAATGAAAATGCTCTTTATCTTCAGTCTTTTCTATTGAGTACATGTTGTATGCTAGGTAGAGGGGACACAAATGAAACAGAATAGACATAGTACCACTCTTGGAATTAATCCCAATTTCAGTCTTATGTTGAGCTTGCTCAGTATTCAAAAGAAGGTTTCCCTTGGATCTGTTCGTGACATTACTGAATTAACTGAACAAAGCCAACAAAGGTAAAAGCTATATAATTTTATGCATCCAAATTTCTGAAAAAATTGACCGAGTTCAAATATTTTGCAGAACATTTAGTCTATAAAGTGATAGCTAATGTTAGGGCAGTTCAGAACGGGACAGCTAAAGTCTTAATGATGTACACATAGCTTTGACCCTGCTATTTCATTTCTAGGATATTCTGAAGGAAATTACCAGGGATGAACTTTAAGGATTATCTGCAAGGGTGTGTTGAACACCAGGGGGATAAGGTAGAGGTAAAAACGGTACACAAGCATGGACAGAAGTACATGTTCAAGGGCAAAGTGAAAGAATACTGCACATTTTGGTCTCAGTTGTATTGTGGAGAAAGGAATTTTCATGCTTCTAAATTAGAAGCTTATAATCTTCTGTGATTGTAGTAATTGTCTCTGGATTGTGAGAAGTTAAATTTTAGAAAACTTCTTGAATACAGTAAATGTCTTGCATATTGCTTTTATGGAGGTATAATTAACATTTAAGAAAAGGCATAGATCTGAGTTTGCTTTACATTTAATGGCTTTTTGTATAGATTTGTGTAACTACCACTCAAGACAGGAAGTTATGTATTCTTTTGATGGTCCCACCTCCCTGGAATTCCAGTGGCTGGGGCCCAGTGAGACACGCCTGGCACTTCTGCTGCTGTGTATTCTCACAGCCTCACTCCCGGCAGGTCAGGGAGAATCTTCCAGGGTTGAGAGTTTCTCTCACTGCATCTTTGGCACCCTGGTTATTGTCTGGTATAACTGGCAGCTAGTGAGAGATATAGAAGCAGATGAAGTAACTAAGAGATGTCTTTAGATATGCTCTTTTAGTTTCCATAAAAAGAATCACTTTGAACCAACCATACGTCTGACCGTGAATTTCAATTTCTGTGGCTCTCCATACCCAGAGGTTTATAATATTCTGTGGTGGAAGTAGCAGAGCCATTTTGTGACTAAGAAATGAGGACCGTGTGGTTTCCTGCTCCTGTTGGTCACCGTCAAGGTCCTAAGTAGTGTCCCGTTAGTAGTGGCAGAGCGTCCGTGGGCTGGTGTCCTGAGTGCTTTGCCAGGGCCCATTGCACCTTCCCCTCCCAAGGCTCCCTTTACCATCCCCCTGCTTACAAGTGAGGAATCAGGGCATAGAACGGGGGTGCTTGCCCAAACCCCGTCCCAAGCATAGTAAAGGAAGGGCAGGACTGACACGCAGGTCTGCCTGTTGCACGCCCCCAGGAGGTGCTAGGTGTCTTGGGAAGAACTAATCCCGTACTGGAGCAGCCCGTCTCTTGGGTTTGTGACCTGCCATCTCATCGGAGACTTTCATCTCTTGACAGAAGTCCTCCGTGGGCAGTGTGTTCCGGCAGCAGTCTACTGAGGACAAAGAGGACAAGCCGCCTTCACGGCAGAAGTTCATCCAGTCAGAGATGTCTGAGGCCGTGGAACGAGCCCGAAAGCGCCGGGAAGAGGAGGAGCGCCGGGCCCGGGAAGAGAGGTTGGCTGCCTGTGCCGCCAAACTCAAGCAGCTGGACCAAAAGCGTAAGCAGGCTCAGAAGGCCAGCGAGGCCCAGAAGCAGGTGGAGAAGGAAGTCCCCCGATCTCCAGGCACTGATAAGGCACCCCCACAGGAGAACGGCCCTGCTGGTCGCAAAGGTGAGTGGGGGGCCCCATCCCATGAACTGGAAACCCTGGGCTGTTTTCACCGATGTGTTGTTTGCATCTCCCTGGCATCTCAGCACACGTAGACGATACTGGGGTGCATCGTCCTTAAGAGTTTTGGCCTTGGTCTACATCCACTTTCAACTAAACTAGCTGGCTATGTAGTTTACCTCTCTGGAGCTTATTTCCTCATCTGTAAAATGGAGTGATAAATAGTATATACCTCCCTGCCCACTGAGAGGCCACAGGAGATAATGTGGCTCCTGTGCGCTTCGCAGTTTCTAGATAAAGCGTGCACATACTTACTGGTAACATTGCCGGTTTGGTCGTCATTGTCACTGTTATCATTACCTCCACTGCTCAGTGCAGACACCAGAGGACTTGAATGAGAGCACAGGACCCTTACATGCCAGTCCTGTTTTTCCTGGCATTAATTCTAAAAGGAGTGGGTCCCTCGGCTACATGAGATGTTAAACAGTGCCGTGGGTTGGGGAGTGTCCCTTGGAGCAGTTTTATAGAATGCTATCGGCTATGTTTAGTTCTTTGTGATTTTCTTAAATTCAACTAAAAACAATTCTTTTTAGGAGAAAAGGGCCTGGTGTTACGAGTCCCCAACAGCTTCTCTCAGGTGGGGGTCTTGCTCGTGGTCTGGCAGTCCAGCGCCCTTCTGGCAGGGAACTCAGAGCAATGCACAGCCCTCCTTCTGTCAGTTTCCTCTCACTGAAGGCTGCGTGAAGTTTCTGCCAGTCTCACAGCACTTGCTGAGCTGGGGCAGCAGAGAGGCTGGGAGGTGGGGTGCTTTGGAGTGAGCGTGGTCACCTGATACTGGACCTGGGTACTGTGGGTGCCCGGGGCTTCCCTGCACCTGCCCGACCCCAGCTGTTCCTCTGTGGTGTGCTGCTGGATCCCGGAGGCTTCCCATCGCTCTTCACCCTCTCAGTGGAATTAAAAATGCAGATGTCAGTTGTGCCTCAGTAGAAAAGCTGGGGGAAAATGCAAAGCTGGGATGGGAGTGGGAAAGGGGAGTTTTGGAGAGAGAATGATGGGAAATAGTGTTGAGCCTCACTACTTGTCAAGCATGATTTTAAGTACAATACATGGATTATCTCATTTAATTCTTACAGAAGCCCTGTGGGGCAAGCACAGTTGGCCTCATTTTACAGATGAAGAAATGGGCAAGATGAAGAAATTTTACAGATGAGAAAAAGTGTGTGTGGAAAAGTTTGGCTGGCCAAGCTTTTGTGAGCTCAGTGCAGCCATTTTTCTGGTTACTTATTCTCTAGGCTCCCCTGAGTTCCCTGTCCAGGGAACCCCCAACCCATTTTCAGAAGAAGCCCCCACGGCTCCTCCAGCTGTGGCTCAGAGCAGCAGTGAGGACGGGCATGGGGAGGCCACGTCTCCCTCCCAGGAGTTCAGCAAGTACCAGAAGGCGCTTCCGCCCCGGTTCCAGCGCCAGCAGCAGCAGCAGGTAAACAGAAGAGATGTGAGCACACCTGGGATAGGGAGGGCGCTGCACCTGGTGACTGGGGGCGTGCCTGGTGACAGAGGTGGGGTGTGTGTGTGTGTGTGTGTGCTCCTGAGGACTGGGGGCATGCCCTGTGACTGGGTGGGTGACCCGCCATACCACTTCAATTAAAACAGTGCCTGCCAGGGGCATCCGGGGTCACACTTCAAAGTGCAGATCTCTCATTTAGATGTCCCCAAGCCCTGCAGGGCAGTACAGTTGTCATTCTGGTGGGTCAGCCCTGGCCATTACTTACTTCTCCCGTGATCTGTCCTGTGGAGGAGCAGAACCCTTGCTGGTAGCTTGTTGACCTTGTGGTCTAATGTTGGTGAGCAGTGTGTACACCGGACTCCGTGTGGCTTGGTGAGAAGAGTGGTGTTTCCTTCAGAGCAGCATGCTGCAGCCAGTGCTCGGCCTGATGGCGGGCCCGCCCTGGGGCCCTTGCGAGGAGTAAGGGAGGCCCCGAGCGCGCGCAGAGCTGTCAGAAGCGTGCTGGCCTTGGGTTAAGGACTGGGTTCGTGCATTTTGGCGGGGCAGCTCTGGGCTCCAGTTCTTGTAGTGCAGCTTGGCTAGTTGGGCGTGGCCTGGGGCAGGCCGGTGTAAACCAGCGAGAATTAATCCCTGTCTCAGCCTAGCACTGAGGGCTTTGTGATGCCTGTAGGCTGGTTTTATCAGTATTACCAGTATCGTCTTCATTAATGTTTCATAAACCTTAAGAGGGGGACCCCCTTTTTTGCCCTGAGAAGATCGTGTAAGTGGTGGTTGTGTTCATACCAGTTTCTTGTAGCCCAGCTGGAAGCACTCATTGGCAATTACGTGTCTCATAGGAGTAATAAATGAAGGAACAGATTGTTACTGATGAACAGTACATTTTGGTGGGACGTGGATATGATATGTGGATATTACTTAGCCCAGAAGCTAGACATGCAGCAAATTATTTGTAGTAATAACTGAAAATGTTTCAAGATGTGTGTGCCCTGGGGAAACAGATCGAGGTCTGAGTCTTTTCCCAGGATCTCTTAGTTGCCTTTAAAACCACCCAGATCCACTTTATCTTGGGCTCCTAGGAATCATTCTAGAAGCTCACCAGGTCCTGTATGCTTTAACCAGAAAGTTACATTCATTGTGCTTTTACAGCATAATGTGAGCGAGCACCATGCAGTTTCTTGTGAGCCTGGTGGAAAGCTACTGGTTGTGGGGGGAAGAGCCAGACAGCAAAAGCAGCTGCTCTTGGTAATTCTTCTGGGATGCGTGATGGGCAAACCCTTCCTTGGGAAGAGAAAGAAGTCTGGAAGGGCCAGGGCAGTCTGAAAGAGTCCTGTAAACAGACTGTCTGGTTAGGTTCCCTGGGGGCCTGGGGTCTAAAGGGAGGAGGAGCCTCTGGGTGGGCCAGGAGAGCTCTGTCTACATGCTGAGTGCCCTTAGAGGTGTGGGGAGTGCTGTTGGAGCCATCCAAGCCATCCAGGGATCGAGCGCAGGCTGGGGCTGCAGCTGGCCGGTTGGTGAACAGCCTTCTTGCTTGCAGATGGAAGTCAGCTAGCCTCCTGGTCTGCCTTGGCACCTGAGTCCTGTTGGAGTGTACTGATTCAGGAGGCACCAGGGAGGGCAGCCCGAAGTCATGCAGGCGATGGAGCAGGGTCCTTGCTTTTCAATGATCTACCTATGTTTTATGTTCATGCATTCATGTGATGAATTTTCTATGTGCTATGTCTGGTGGTGGGTGCAAGGGTACCACAGTGACTGGTAGGCAGCCTTTCCTGATTTCATGTTGTGGAAAATGTCATCACCTATGTTAGTGTTACAGAGGAGAGAGATAGTGCTGTGAAGCAAAGGGCAGGGCACCCCATCTCCCAGGGATTTGTGATGGGCTCCCCCAAAGTGTTTTTTTTTTTAAGCTGAAATCTAAAGAAAGTAGTAGGGTTGAGCCAGGTTTGGAGGTGGAGTGAAGAGGAGCCTCCCAGACAGGGGCCCCGAAGAAGTGGGTGGGCAGGCCTGCGGCAGGGAGTTGGGGGTGCTGAGAGGCAGGTAGGGCAGGATCTACGGGGCCCTGTAGGTTACTCATGATCTTGGGGTAGCAGGCTGTGCAGCAGCAAGCTGTGGGCGTGGTCAGGGATGCTGGGTCATCGCTGCCCTGGAGTGTGGTCAGTAGATTGAACCGGGAAGAGTGGGGACCGGCCTCAGCGATTATAGACGAGGAGCAGTTCCCTGGGAGGAGTGCGGGTCACCTGTTGGTTCTAGGATGTTGTTTGATCTTATGAAGCCCCTTCTGCCATGTGTGGCCTCTGCTATGATGGTGGCCTGGCTGTCCATTCAGTCTTGGGAGAGCCTGGGAGCTGTCATGCCCTGGGGTCCCCCCTGTGAGCAGCTGCTCCTTCCCGCCCCTTTGTTCTTCTGCTCTGTCTGTGCTACCTTTGGAAAGCTAGAAGAACGTGCGTGTGTGCGTGCGCCTGGGATGTCTGCCCCGCAGAGCTGCTCTAACTGGGCCTCTCTCCCTGATCAGGAGCAGCTGTACAAGATGCAGCACTGGCAGCCCGTGTACCCTCCACCTTCCCACCCGCAGCGCACCTTCTACCCGCATCATCCCCAGATGCTGGGCTTCGATCCCAGGTGGATGATGATGCCTTCCTACATGGACCCACGAATCCCACCCACTCGGACCCCAGTGGATTTCTACCCCTCGGCCCTACATCCCTCCGGTAAGCATGGTGGTCTGGTGGGCCATGCCAGGAGCACCAGGGTCCTGCGGCGTTCAGGGTGTTTCCTCAGGAGTTAGACAGACCCACCTGGGTTTCAGTCTGGCCTCTTTGGCAAGTCACACAACCAGTCCGAGTTTAACTTGCTTGCTTGCCAAGTGAGGGCGTGATCGCGCATTTCACAGAGCGTTGTGTGCAGAGACCTTGCAAGCTCATGAGGTCTCTGCCACATCGTTCCGTCCCTTCCTATTCTCGATGCTCGTGTCTTCGCTCATTGTGTCCTTGGTTACTTTCCTGCGGTTTATCTTAATGCCATTTTCAAAAGACAGCTTTTGGTTTTTTTAATTCTTCTGTTTGATTTTAATTTCATTAATTTCTGCTTTTTTCTTATTATTCCTTAGAAATTATTCCATTCTCTTCCTAATTGTTTTGGATGCTTGGTTCATTAATTTCTAACTTTCCTGGTAAAAATATTTTAAGTACCACGTGACCTATAAACTCCTATGAATTGAAGTTTTAAGATAGTCACATTTTCATTATTGTGCTGTTCTAAACGTTAGTCTGCTTTTGATTTGTTATGTGTTCTGATTGATGATTTTTAATGGTATGTTGTAAATTTTCCAAATATTTAGAGTTTGAGGATCACGGTGTTAATTTTTAATGTGGTCAGATAATACTGTCTGTGTGGTACAGATCGGGGGTCAGCAAACTTTTTCTGTAAATGCCAAATAGTAAATATTTTAGACTTTGAGCAACCATTTAGTTTTGCTATTATAGAACAAAACAGACAATAGGAGGTGAATGAGTGTGGTCACTGTTCAGTTAAACTTTATTTTTAAAAACAGGTGGCCAGTTGAATTTCACTTAAGGGCTGGAATGTGCCCACCAACCTGGATCTTGATTGCTTAACATTTGTTGACATTTCCTGTAGACTATAATGTGGTCTTTGTAATCATCTTCTTTTTCTTTTTTTAACATTCTGTTTGCTTTAAAGAATATGTATTCTCCAATTGGATGTGGTCCATTAAATTGAACTTGCTAATTGTACCGTCTTGTGAGCTTGTCCGTTTTTGCTTCGTCTATCTGGAAGCATTCAGGTTGGGAATTACTACATCTTATTTTTTTTATCATAGAGCACTCTTCTTATCATTAATTTTGCTTTCTAGAATGTCTACTTTGGTATTAATATCACCATTCCAATTCTCTTTTCAGTAATATTTATGTGTTATCCTTTTTTCCCCCCAACTTCTTACTGTCAGCCTCTCTCAGCCCTTTTTCGGGGGACATATGCATATCTTTGTGCATATGTACAGAATGTGTACGGTTTTACCCACTCTGAGAATCTATGACTAATTGCCAAAGTTGGTCCCTTTAGATTTATTGGGATTATTATATTCAGATTTTCTACTTTCCTATTATGCTTTCTATTTATCCCTCTTGTCTATCCTTTTCTTTTTCTTTATTCCTTTTGTCAGTTGTTTCCCCATTCTTTCTGTTTTCCTCCTACATTGTCTACCCACTTTGTTCGTGGTTACATTAAATTCTAACACACACCGTCAACTCAGCAAAGACTAGTCATGTCTTTACCCTTAACCCGAGCTCTCATTACCTCATCAGCCTTGTTATTTTTGCCTGAAATTTTAGTTTTTGTTTTTATGCCCACCAAATGAGTCATCATTATTTCTGTTGTTTGGCCCAATCTATGTGTGTTCAGATTTGCCTGTATGTTTACGAGCTCATTTGCTGCACTTTCCTCCTTGTGTCTTCTTCCTTCCATCCAGAGCCAGGAAGTACATTCTGCCGAGTTCTTCAGGAAAGTTTCTGGCAGTAGCTTTTCTTTGCCTGAAAGAAAATGCATCACCCTTTCTCCTGAACCATAGTATAGCAGGGTGTAGAATTCTTCAGTTGGCAGTTACTTTCTTTCTTTCAGTCTGCGGAGGATCATATTCCATTTTCTTCTGGCTCCTGTTGCTGCTGAAAGTCTGATTCATGTCTGGGTGATCTACTCAGATTGGTCTGTCTTTAAGATTGTACCATCTTTGTTCTCCTGCATTTGTCTCTGTGTGTTGTGGCTAGGCGTGTATCCATATCCTTACTTTATTCTGCTTTGAACTCATGGTGCTTGAATCTAAGGATCTGTGATCTTGAATCCAAGTCTTTTATCACTTCTGGAAAATTCTCTTCTGATTATCACTTGAAATACTGCCTTTCCCCCCCCCCCTCATTCTTTGTGTCCTTTCTTCCTAGGACTCCTGTGTAGATTATTTTGTACCTTCTCTATCTCTTAATTATATAAGAGAGGTTATCTCTGTGGTGCCTTCTGGGAAAATGTCTCAGAACTATTTTCAGTTCAGCTCCCTCTCCAGCTATGTCTAACCTTTTATTTTTCTTTTACTGTCCAGTGAGGTTTTAATTTCAGTGACTGTTTTTATTGCTAGAATTTTTTCCCTCAGATCTATAATTTTTTCTTGGGTCTTACATTTTGTCTTAAGTTTTTCATTCCTTTTGTGCTTTTAATCATTTAAAACATTAATTTTCTAGTGTATAACAAATTATTCTGTTATCTGAAGTTCTTGAGAAAGTATGTAATCCTGGGAATGGGCCATGGACCCATGGCAGATTGCTTTCCACACATTATGGTAATTTTGGATTGCAAGTTCATTTTCAACAGAGCATTATCTATTGTGGGGATCCAGTATAGCTTGTGTTGAAAGTATATTCCTCCAGAATGATTTTATGTTTCCTTCTGCCAGCCTTTTGTTTTAGCTGGGGAAGTTTCTGGACCATTCTGGATGTATACATCTGAACTCTGCCTTCCCCAGTCTTGTATGAAGGCTGGCATACACGGCTGTGAATTCCTAGCTGGGGACTGTCTTTTCCCTACCCTAGTCCAGGTCAATATACAAACTTAGTCATTGCCCTTACTAAAGAGCATATGTTTTCCTAACCCATCTTCTAACTGAGGGCATAGCCCTTTGAGGGTCTTTTTTCTAAGCAGCATCTCAGTTACAACTCTGCCTAGTGCAGAAAAGCCCCACCACCTGTTCTGTGAGGGTGAGGAAGACCGAGCCCCCAGGTTACTAAGACTGGCAGATGCGTCACCCTGCTCCCCTTCAGGAAGCACCCGTTAAGTGGCTCTGGCCCATAGCTGTGGTTTCTGCTCCCTGGGGGTTTGTTTCCTCTTTTCTTGGGAACACAGCTCTGCAAGTGAAATGTTTGATATGTTCTGTTCAGTGTTTGTGTGGCAGAGGTGGTTTGTGGTGGGGTTTCGGGTAATAAGGGCTGCCACGTTGCCAAAGTCAGTCAGTGTATAGTGCTGAGCAGTTGAGCATGCCTCATCATCAGTACTTTTTTTTTTTTGCTGTCATTAATATACAGCTACATGAGCAACATTGTAGTTACTAGATTCCTCTCATTATCAAGTCACAATCAGTACTTATTAAATGCCATGGAATTGTAGTGTTGTGGAGAGGTTCCCCGCCACCTTTGACACAAACTAAGTTTGCATTGGTGTCATGTATTGGTAGCATAAGAACAAAGCACTCCACAGCTAAAGAAAAGCTTAACCACTGGCCTAATGCAGAACCATTTTCCTGGCCAGATTATTTCAGCTTAAAAATGGGCACAACAAAATATTTGGCTTCTAATAAACTTTGTGAAGAAAGCGTATGAAAAATCAGATTTTTTCTCCATCTGTACCAACCAAAGAAGCCCTAGCAGCAGTGTGGTTCCCCACCTGGTTGATATCGGGCAGGACTGGGTAATCCTTGTCCTAGTCTCCTTGGGCCAGTTAGTAGGTGACTTGTCATGTATGTGCCCCCTCCCCCCATTTCCCATACAAAGATGTGGAGTGTTGCTGTCGGTCTGAGGGTTAGGAGCAGGGGGAAGTAAAGCCGGAATCCCGTTCGGAAACCTCTTGCGTGCTTTCGAAGCAGGTCATGCTAGCTCACTGTCTTCCTGGTGTCTGTGCAGAAAGCCTTTCGGCGTGTCTGCTTGCTCAGTCATGTTGCTGATGGCTTGGCCGCTCTGCTGGCACTGATGAGCTCTCCAGCCTGATAGGCCCAGGTTCCGTTTGCCGGTTTTATGTGCTTTTCAACTCAGGGTTCTTAATCTGGCAACTAGGATTGGGCCTCACAGGCCCTCAGAACAGGTCATTTAACATCTCAGACCACATGCCTGCCTTAGAGGTTCTGCGGTCAGAAAAGCTGAAGAGCCCGGTGATGTCAAGTGGGTGGGGTGCTGTGCCCACATGGTGGGCACGGGTAACTGTCGTCTCCTTTGAGCCTTTGGTTGATCTGAGATGCGAGCACGGCTTTCTGAATGAGATGACACAGACTAGTTCTTGGCCTTCTTCAGGACTGATGAAACCCGTGATGCCCCCAGAGACTCTCGGTGGGGCCAGCTGCCGCCCTGAGGATCAGAACCGCGTGCCCCCACTGCAGGAAAGAAAGGCGACTACCATCGACCCCACCCCTGCGTGGAGCCCAGAGGGCTACATGGCATTGCAGAGCAAGGGCTACTCGCTGCCCCACCCAAAATCAGATGGCACTTTGGCCCTGGACATGCATGTCAGGTGAGATGAGACTTGATCCTGCTGATCTGCAGCTGAGGAAGACTCTCCCGCCCCTAATGGAGAGGGACTCTGGGAAGAGGCACTCCCCGGGGGACATTGCCTGTGGGCGCCGTGGAAGGGATGGCAGTGCCCTGGGAGGGCGAGTGTGCTCAGGGTTCCTGGAGTGCTTTTGTGTGAGAGGCGCTGATCTGAAGGCCGGGGAGAAGTCCTGGGGTCAGAGGCAAATCTCACGGAACCGTGGGCACAGGGCCAGGGGGTGGGGGCCCTGCAGGGCAGGTGGGGCTCAGCGCGCAGGTCATGGCTCCTTCCCGTGAAGTAAAGCAAGCTGGCCCCCTGGCCCAGCGCCCCCGACTCTTCACCGACTCCGGGCTCCGGCTTGTTCTCGGAACCAGAGGATCCCCAGCTGCTCTCTGTCGCCTGTGTGGCGCACTGAGTCCACCAGCAGCCACTGCGTTCTCCACTCTCTGGACTCCAGGGGCCACCGACCAATCCATGGCCCAGCAGCTCTGAGACGTGTTTAAAGATAGAGCGAATGTTGGTGCTTATGTTTTTTTCTTTAAAAATTTTTTTTTCTTTTTAAAACTAAGCTCTGTGTTCAGCATGGAAACCAGGAACCAGGCTCCAATCACATTGACTGATTTTTCTGGTTCCTTTTCAGGAATGAAAGCTCTTACTCTGCCTCACCCGGAAGGTCAGGGGGCGTAAGTGCCCAGCGCGATCTCCTTGAGGAGAGAGGGGAGGAATACTTGAGTGCTTTTGACAAGAAGGCCCAAGCAGACTTTGACAGCTGTGTCTCTTCTCAAAGAATAGGCCAGGAGCTCTTGCTTCCACCCCAAGAAAATACCCAGGAAGCAGGTGATCCTGGGGGTCACAGCCCAAACCTCAGGTGCCCCCCACTGGAGCCTGATTTTGCCCCAGCTGAGAAAAAGCCAGAGTATAGTAATTGGGACATTAGCCACCAGCCAAAGGCCACCGGTGCAGCCAGCAGTGTTGAGGAGGAGGCTCCCCGGGAGGAGCTGCCCTTTAGCACCTCCTCCTGGGAGAAGGCAGGGAGCCCCAACAAAGAGCCCCCGCTGGAGCCTGAGTGGACCTCGGAACCCCGGGGCCCTGGCAGCCAGCTCCAGGAGCCTACCGGCAGGACCCGAAGATCAGGACCCATCAAGAAACCTGTCCTAAAAGCCCTCAAGGTAGAAGACAAGGAGAAGGAGCTGGGGAGGATGAAGCAGGACCCGGGGATGGGGGGTACCCGCCCAGCCAAGGAGAAGGGGCTGCCTCGTAAGGTGGAAAAAGATGAAGATGAGGAGAATGGCCCCACGCTGACCAGTCCATCCCCTTCTACCTTGGAGGGCCAGGGTTCTACCCGCGTGAGTTTGGGCCGTGAGGCCAGCAAGTCTGAAGAGGACGAGAAGCCCGACAGGGCCTGGGAAGCCAGGCCCTCCCGGGAGTCCAGCGATACTGCCCCAACGAGGAGGAATAACTGGATCTTCATTGATGAGGAGCAAGCCTTTGGGGGCAGAGGGCAGGCGCGGAGCCGCGGCCGTGGCTTCAGAGAATTCACTTTCCGTGGCCGGCCTGCCAGCAGCAGCATCTGTGGGGGGGCGGTCCTTGGGGTGCGGGGTGTCTACAGCGGCAGCAGCCAGCGGAGCGGCCGAGGCCGCGGCCTGCGGGAGTTCAGTCAGCCGGATGACTTCCCCAGGGCCAAGCCCCGCCGGAGGATCGCCAGCGAGACCCACAGCGAGGGCTCTGAGTACGAGGAGCTCCCCAAGCGGCGTCGGCAGAGGGGCGCGGAGAGCGGGATCGAAGGCTCGCTCCTGGAGAGGGGCGAGAGCGGCGTGGGGAGAGGTGACTTCAGAGATTCCTGGCGCTCCAGCAAGATGTACTCTGAGGACCGCAGTGGTCTGGACACGAAGAACCGGGGCCCTCGGGCCTTTGGGCGAGCCCTCCCACCCCGGCTGAGCAATTGCGGGTTTGGGCGGAGAAACTTCGTGTCCAAAGAGTCAGCCCCCTGGCAGAGTAAGAGTCCGGGTGCCTCCTGGCAGGAATACAGCCCTCCTGACGCGTGTGGGTCCCGGCGACCCACAGACAGAGACTACGTCCCCGAGGCCTACAGACATTCTGACTCATTTGGCGCCAGGGGCTTTGAGGACAGCCGCCTGGAAGACAAAAGGTCCTTCTTCCACGACGACCATGTGGCAGATTGTGAAAATGTGGAGAACCGGCCCTTCAGGAGAAGGCGCCCCCCACGTCAAGACAAGCCCCCTCGCTTCAGGCGCCTCAGGCAGGAGCGTGAGTCCCTGGGCCTGTGGGGGCCTGAGGAAGAGCCCCACCTGCTGCCAGGTCAGTGGCCCAGCAGGTCCAAACTCTGTCCTGGGGACAAGAGTGGCGCTGTGGGCCGCAGGTCCCCTGAGCTCTCATACCAGAACTCCTCTGACCACGCCAACGAAGAGTGGGAGACGGCCTCCGAGAGCAGTGACTTCAGTGAGCGGCGGGAGCGGCGGGAGGGCCTCGGGGCCGAGCCTGACTCCCAGGCGGACGGCAGCTTGCCTGGGGCCAGCTTGGGCGAGAAGAAGGAGCTGGCCAAGAGAAGCTTCTCCGGTCAGAGACCCCTGGTTGACAGACAGAGCCGAAAGCTGGAGCCGGGAGGGTTTGGGGAGAAGTCTGTTAGGCCAGGTGGTGGTGAATCTTCTCCCCGTTATGACAGCCAACAGAATGGGACGCCTTTGAAAGCCAAAAGGTAACACAAAAACAAAATCCCAGGTTCTTTTTTGTTGCTGTTCTGTTGTTAAGCCAGTTTTTTAAGCAGCACGCCATGCATGCATGTCCTACCATGTGTCAGGTGCCCTCAGCTCTCTCCCTCTCACGCTCAGAAGGGCCACCGCCCACCAGGCTGTTGTGTGTGAGCATCTCCATCACTTGCTCTTGACTGCTTGTCTGCTTCTCTTGTGGCGTTGTGTTGTTCTTGTTGTGCCTTGAAACCAAATTTAGAATCCTCACCGCAGTGGTCCTCCTGTGGTGGCTGCTGGCATCTGTCCCAGGAGTTTAGCCTCCATGTGTGTTCTTGGAGTTCCCCAAGGGGCTGCTGCAGCAAGAGGGCATTACCTGTGCAGGGCACTGGCGGGCCCCAGTCAGGCCACCAGGTCCCTTTGCCCCAGGGCTGCTGCCAGACCACATCCTGGTGGGGCATTGCTGGCCTCTGGCCCCACAGAGATGGTTCCTCCCTGAACGGCTCTGCTTCTGTGCAGACGCAGCGCTGCCCAGGGATTGCCACTGCGCGTGGCAGGAGCTGGGCGGAAGTATAGGGGACTGGGCTGCCTGATGCCCGGCGAGCATCTTGACTGCAGTGAGAGGCTCTGTGGTGGATGGTCTGTGCTCAGTGTCAGCTCACTGTCCTCAGGCTGCTCTGGAGCCAAGGAGGGGCTCATGCAGCCAGCCTCCCTGATGTTGTGGACTGCATGGCAGCATGCGCAGGAAGACTGCTCCCCACCTCCCAGCCTCAAAATCCAGGGCACAGAAACCTGGGGTGTAATTAAATCATACCCCAAAGAAGGAGCCACAGGACAGTTTGGGATGTCAGTTTAGCCTAGCTTCCCAGGCCCCAGGTTGCCGAGACATGGCTTTGCTTTTGATTTTTGCCCAAGAGCCCCAGGCCTGGCTTCGTGCTGGGGTTCTGTTTCAAGCTTTCCTGCTCTGTCCTCTCCTTGCTGTAGCCCTGCGAGTATGGCACACCGTGGGCAAGAACAGAAGTACTGAGCCCTGGAAAGGGGCCAGGGAAAGGGCTGTTTCCCCTGTGAGAGGCAGAGCTCTGCTGTGGTGCTGGTCTGGGGGTGGCCTTCCATGTGGGCTTGCACGTGATGCACTGCTGCTGGTGTGCAGCCCCTGCTGAGTGACAGGTGTGGTGGGGGAACACGGGCACGCGTCAGGGCCCTGCGTGAGTCTGTGAGCGTGCGTGCATGCTGTGTGCGTGCAGTCTCCTTTCCCACCTCCTGACCTCGGGTCGCTTCTGAGCTAACAAGGCCTCCTTCCTTCCTTCATAGGGCCCCAGATGAAGTCTTGCCTGGAAGTCTTGGCTGCAGCAGTGGGAGCGGCCACTACAGCCTGGAGCGGGCAGCCCATGCTGCCTCTGACATCCCAGAAGCCACCTGTGAGAAGGCAGAGGAGGCCAAGCTGGCTGCTCAGAGGGCAGGCGAGCAGGGAGAGGCCATGACGCAGTTTGACCTCAGCTATGGAAGTGAGTCTGTCGCCTCACATCTTCAGCGGGAGGAAGCGCCCAGGTCAAACCCAGGTCCCCAGCAGCCTCCGCACATTGCTGTTCCCTTTTCAATGAGTGTCTTCGCCCTAAGGTTAAGTCTGGTGCCACAGTGCTGAGCAGAACAGATATGATTCCTGCCCTCCTGTTGCTCACAGCCTTGCTGAACCCCTACAACAGCCCTGTGGTGTCCCTGTTTTAAAGGGAAGGAACCCGAGGCCCAGAGAGGTTGAGAGGTTTGTCCAAGGCCAACACAGCTGGTTAGGAGCAGAGCTGGGACTTAAGCACATCTGTCTCCCAAGACTGTTTTTGTAACTAGCACTATCCAGCCTCTTTGATCTGACGTGACAGCGCTAGAGGGGGGCATGAAGCAGGTAGAAATCACAGCCAGATTTCCGTACACCCAGGTGAGCCATCCTCAGCTCCTCGGAGGTATCAAGCCAGGGATTGCCTGGCCTTCAGAGTGAGCCCTTCCTTAGAAAGCAGGTGCCTGAGGGGTTGGGTTATTCTTGGCTTCTGATGAAAGGAAACACTGTCCCTTTTTGTGAAATCTCGGTTTAGGTGCCATCGTTGAAAATTGCGGGTCCAGCCCTGGGGAGGAGAGTGAAGTGGGCTCTGTGGTGGGTGAAGGTTTCATTGAAGTTCTGACCAAGAAGCAGCGCCGCCTGCTGGAGGAAGAAAGGAGGAAGAAGGAGCAAGCCATGCAGGTTTGGGTCGTGGGCCGCAGGCTGGCGCAGAGGGAAACCCGGAGCCAGAGAGACTAGGGGTTTCTGAGTTAAGTCCAAGAGAGAGGAGAGGAAGAAAGGGGTATTTATTAACCACGCACCGTCTACCAAGCACCCACTGTCCCTGTGTCCTGTGGGCATGGATGGTGCTGCGCTTGTTCTTAAAGAGGGTGACAGCAGCAGAAATATGGCTGACAGGGTGTAGACCTCCATCAGGCCTCTAGTCCATCCTCCTTCTGCTGACTCGTCCCCCTGGGAGTCACGAGAGTTGGGGTCCCAGCACTCAGATGCTGTCAGAGCTGAACCCTGCATACGTGCCTTGTTAGTGGTGGTCAGTCCCAGTCTGTTGGCTCATTGGCTGTCCCAGGTGCTTTGGCCAGCACAGCATTCTAGCATCTGGGGCCCTCTCGGGAGGCGGAGTTTTGGTGTCTGGGATGCTCAAATGTGTCCTTGTTCATGCCTAACAGCAGGCTATACTACATTCCTTTTCTCTCCTTAGGTGCCTGTCAAAACTCGGGGTCTCTCCTCCCGTATACCGCCTCGGTTTGCTAAAAAGCAAAACAGCCTGTGCCTGGAGCAAGGTGATGCGACTCTGCCTGGCAGCAGCCTGGGCACTGAGATCTGGGAGAGCAGCAGCCAGGGTAATGGTTTGGTGTGGGGCTTACTGCTTGGCCCATCGCCGTCTCCCAGACCCAGGGTCTCTTCTTCAGGAGCACCCTGCCGCAGGGGCCCTGATGATAGAGGGAACGTCACCTGCTTCTCAGCAACCTTGACTGAGCCCAGGGTGTCAGATGCCATCTCCGTGCTACTTGGCGCTATAGCTCCTGAAGAGATGGTAACTTTTCCTGTCCAGATTTGGTGGAAGAGCAGAGCATTCCATATGTTCCGTCCCCCTAAGGCCCCTCGAGGAGTTGTCTTTTGACCCTTTGCCCACATTGGTCACTGTTTTTCTTCCCTTGTGGAAGAGCCGCAGATGGTGGCTGGGTACGGGAATAGGTCTGGAAGCTTTCCTGTCTGGGCTGGGTACCCTTTTCTCACCTAGGAGGAAGGTTGTCTGCTCCTCCCTAAACGTTCTCTTAGACAGACTTGTGACCAGAGTACAGTGGATTTTACTTTTTGGAAAATGTGCTTCCTTGAATCCTTTGTAAAGAAAATTTCATATCTGATGCTATTTTTCTGTTAACTTTTCCTTTTAAAATACAAAACCATTTTAATTGAGCAGATTCTTGAATTCCCAATTTGGGCAGGGCCCTGCAGGGTACACAGATGAGTGAAACAAGGACATGCACACCATGCAGAGCAAGCTTGGGGGAATTATCCATTTCCAGGTTATTTTTATATAAAGCAGCTGAGGCTTCCGGAATGCAGTGACTCAACCCTAGTGCTATATGGCAAACCCCTAGGATCCGGGGTTTGAGTTCTTGATTCTTTCAGTTTTACTACATGGCCCGTCCTCATATTCCTGGTGAAGATCTTGGTTACAACACATTGCAAAATAACAGGGAAGTACTCAACTCTGCAAAGTACAGTATCTTTTAATAAAATACTGATATCAGTAAATTTGGTATTGTGTGTATAATGGGTATCTTGGTCCAAAATGCATACCTGCCAGATGGTCAGGCGGAGCACAACTAGACTCAGGGTCATCCTCTGTCGCCAGGCCTTTCCCTCCAGGATTCTGTGGTGTCTGGTCGGTTCCTTAGGTCAGGGGCCCGTGGATGCTTCAGAGGGTTCCTGGATTGTAAAACAGCATCTAAGTTTTTGTGCATATGCACAGGGTCCACAGCTTTTGTTGGAATCTCAGTGGTCTGTGGGCTTGGAGCTTTCAGAGACTTGGTAGGAACTGACAGCTTTTAGAAACAGTTGGCTGAAGGGAGAGCTTCTCCACAACAGAGGTAGCAAGACCTCTAAATGGTGTGAATGAAAAGTCACTGGTACGTGTATGAGGGCATGTAACTGATGGAATGGTGAGAGACATGGTTATTGAAATCTGTCTGAGGGTGTTGGAAGGTCGGGTCAAGCTATCGGACCAGCGTCTGTGCATCAGATCTGCTCACGTGCATGTTGTTTTCAGGGCAGGAGGGCGGGTACGGGACCTGGGTGGGTGAGCTATACCTAGGCTTGCATTTCCAGCCTGGGTGTTGCTCTCAGATGCTCCAACTCTGTCTTCCTCCTCCTTGCAGCCCTTCCCATTCAGGCCTCAGCCAGCGACTCCTGGACCAAAGCTGCCACTGCCTTCAGCAGCACCGAGTCTGGCTCTGCTGAGGTAAGAGGCCGTGTGCTGCTCAGCTGCTGGGTATGTGCGCACACTGTCCGTGTGGCCACCTGCCTGAGCTCTCCCAGGGCTGCGGTGGTTGAGCCGTGAGCAGAAGCCGTTTCCATGGGCCCTGGCTTGTTGCTGGTCCTCCCGATCACTGAGGTCTTTGATCTGTGTGAGGTGCCTATGGGAGAGGGCAGAAGGGAGGGGATTTGCAGGGAACACCCACCTTGGGGGGTGAGCACTGAGGGCCTCTCCTTGAGACGGCCACATGCAGGAGTCAGGCAGTCCTGGCGCAGAGCTCGCTGCATCGCGTGATCATGGACTTGGGCAGGTTGGTGTGTTTTCCATCTGGGGCACATGTGTTGGGGCACCACGCTTGGTCTTGCTGGTTGGAGGTCACATTTTGGAGTTTGGGGGTCAGGACTCTAACCCACTTTGTGCCTTGCACAACAGGGTTTTAAGAGCAGCCAGGGAGACAGTGGTGTTGACTTGAGCGCTGAGTCTCGTGAGTCATCTGCAACGTCCTCGCAGCGCAGCTCGCCATACGGCGCTCTGAAGCCAGAGGAGATGAGCGGGCCCAGCCTGGAGCCCAAGGCTGACAGCCGCAAGGAGCAGGCTCAGAAACAGTCTGAGCAAAAGGTAACCTGGGAGGCCTGTTCCTGGGAGCCAGGTCCTCGGAAGGGGGCTCTTTTTTGTCCTTTCCCTGATTGCTGGGTGCTTAGAAGCTAGAGCCTGGGTCCTTCCAGTCTGTGTTTCTCAGCCTCTGTCCTTTCTCATCAAGGATTCAGAACAAGGCTCAGGACAGAGCAAGGAGCACAGACCGGGACCCATTGGCAATGAGCGTTCTCTGAAAAACAGGAAGGGCTCCGAGGGGACTGAACGGTTGCAAGGGGCTGCGGTCCCGCCTGTTAACGGGGTGGAGATTCACGTGGACTCTGTGCTGCCGGTACCGCCTATCGAGTTTGGAGTCAATCCAAAAGTGAGGCTTTGATCCCCCTTTTTTTTTTTTTGGTATTTGGAGAGGAAGGGCCAGGGCCTTAGATGGGGCTGTCTCCTAGAAAGAGCCAGACGATGGGAGCTGAGCAAGTCTCCAGTGGAGTGTGCTGGTGTGTGGTCGTGGGCGGGATGTGCTTCTGGCCGCCCTCTAGATTTCTCCACTGACATCAGCCAGGTTCTCAGGCCGAGCGGGCGGGTGGTCTTCATTGTCTCTGACGGGTTGGACACTGGGCATGAGCAGAGCGCAGGGAGAGAGGATTGGGGGGGGGACATTCTTTCTCGGGTGCTGTTGGGAACCATCTGGCCCATTTTGTTCATACAGTAAATGCTGCTTAGTGAATTCTTTGAGTTGCTGAGACTGTGGATCAAAGTAGTGTGAAACTCTGCCAAAAGGGGAGTCAGGATGATTTCAGTGGGCCCTGTTCTCCTCTTTTCAGGACTCTGATTTCAGCTTGCCACCTGGTTCTGCCTCCGGGCCTGCAGGGAATCCAGTTGTCAAACTTCAGGACGCATTGGCCAGTAACGTAAGTCTGCACTTCCACGCCCAGCCCTCTCGTCCCTCTGCTGGCAGACCCTGGTGTAAAGAGAGCCCTGTGTGGTGCTGAGGCCAGAGAAGGTGGGCCAACACCAGCTTCTGGGGAGGCAGATCTGAGTCTGAGTTGTGGCCGTGTCTCTGGCTAGTCACTGTACTCAGGCAAGTTGCTTAAATGTTCCAAGCCCTGGTTCTGTGACCTTAAAATGGGATATTATAGCGATCTTCCTAGGGTCTGGCTTACCTGGCATTCTTTGATTCTATGATCTTCCAAGTTCTGAGGTACATTTGATAATACTGCATGAGGCAGGTTTCTGCACTCTGAGATTCATCGGATCCCTGTGATGTGCAGAGGTGTCTGTGAGATGCTGGTGTCTGTGAGAGGAGGGTCGAGCAGTTGCATTTCTGAACATACGTTACCAGGGACCTTGTTTTTGCAGTTCTGGGGTGGCACTGAGACAGGACCTGGGTATCTCCAAGCTAGGGAGAGTGCCTATGTGCTGGGAGCCAGCAATCCTTGTGTGGCCGAGACATGACTACCTGGCTGGAGCCCTCCATGGGATGCAGGTGTGGGGGCTCCACAGACTTGTGTCTTAGGTCTTGATGAGGCAGCTACTTGGAGGAGATAAACTGTGATCTGTGTTGCCAGCTGCTTCATCGTGATGATCTCAAGCGCATGTGGCTAAACCTGGAGGTGCATTTTGACATTTGATGTGCCATATGGGTTTCCTCTGACCCCCGTCGTATTCCATGGTTTCATTTCCTGCTCCAGGCTGGGTTAACACAGAGCATTCCCATCCTCCGGCGTGACCATCACATCCAGAGGGCCATCGGCCTCTCCCAAATGTCTTTCCCCACTGCCGACCTCACTCTGAAGGTAAGGCCCAGCCCTGAGCTAGGCGCAAGCCACATGGGTCCTTAGCTGGTGAAGAGGCGGGAGTGAGCAGCCCCACCCCACAGCTTAGGTTTGTGCTGTCCGCTGCCTCCCTGGTAGTAATTTTCATTCCTCCCCTCACTTGAAGATGGAGTCTGCACGCAAGGCTTGGGAAAACTCACCCAGTTTGCCGGAGCAGAGCTCTCCCGGAGGCGCTGGCTCGGGCATCCAGCCCCCATCCTCTGTGGGAGCCTCCAGCGGAGTCAACTACAGTGCTTTCGGTGGGGTTTCCATGCCGCCCATGCCCGTGGCTTCTGTAGCACCCTCTGCTTCTCTTCCAGGTAGCTCACTCCCTACCCTGCCAGCTCGGGAGCCTTCTCCATTCACTTTTAAGAGAAACCTTGGACTGATAGTCCTAAGCACCCCTACACCCCCTACCTTGACTTAAGGGGTGTGTAGAAGGCAGCTATGTGTCTAGGCTGCGTGGTCTCAGTTTCCTACATGCTGCAGATAGCCTGCATTTCCTGCTGTGTTGCCTTGGCCTAAGCAGCTCAGTGCTTTTAGTTACTGATCCCTCCTCTGTAAAGTGAGAGCAGGCTGGGGGACATGGGGGAATGACGCTGTTGTGCCTGGAAAATGCTCTGTCAGTTAAGGCCTCAATAAGTGGTAGCTGTTTTTATTGCTGTGTTGTTTCCCCAAGGGAGAAGGTGGGCATTTTGAGGGCCCAGTTGCCAGTCTCAGTGATGCAGTTCCAATAGATCCTTCTGACCCTCCACTGTGGACTCAATAGCAGGGAGATGAAGAGGAGAGTGACTGAGAGACTAAAGCAGCCCTCAATTGCAGTGAAGCCCCTCCTGAGTGTGCGGCAGTGGGAGAATGGTTAGGTGGGAAGGGTAGACTGGAGCCCGCCCCTCCTCCTGGACCCTGGTGCTGCCGCCTCCCCAGGTTTCCTGTGGGTGCATCAGGTGTGTCACAAGTGGTGTGGTGCTGCGAGCACAGGGCCAGGAGTCTGAGTCTGAACCAGCTCTGTGCGCACTGCCTCTCTCCCACCCGTTCCCCAGGAAAGTGTTCCCACGTAGAGTGTCCCCCAAAGGGACATTCAGTAACAGTGAGACGTGATCCTGTTGTGCCTCCTCTCGGATTCTGTTTCCAGGCAACCACCTGCCGCCTCTGTATCTGGATGGCCATGTGTTTGCAAGTCAGCCCCGACTGGTTCCTCAAACGATACCTCAGCAGCAGAGTTACCAACAGGTGACAACAGCAAGCCAGGTGGCCTGGTGGAGGATGGGGGCTGCAGCACACAACATACTCTTTATTTCTTCATTTTCTGTATCCCTCACATGTAATACCCAGCACCTGGCACACCGTGGCAGCCAGTAAATGTTCACTGAACAAATACATGAGAGAGAAGGAAAAGGATTGGCACTCAGTGTTCCAGACTCTACTTAGTTTCCCTTTCTCAGACTTCTGCTCTCTGTATCTTAGCTGGGGAATTCGCTGTAATGAATTCTCTTTGGTAATCAGGTATCCTTCTGATGAAGAGAGGAAAGGCCTAGACTCCAGGCATGGATGCAGTAGAAAGAGGTAGTTTTAGAAGTGAGCAGGTGTTCGTTTTTTCACAAGATTGGCATATTTTCATGCTGTAAGGGGATGATGATTTCTGGAAGTCTCCTTTCTGACGTTGGTGTAGGGCCTTCCAGATGGCCCAGCCCCTGCAGGCCAGGATGGTGAGGCTCTGGCAGGGGCACTGTTTGAGGTCCAGATTCAGGACAGAGGACTCGGCCTCTCCTGACCTCTTTTTAAAACATGCCCTTAAATATAATACTGTTCCATTTTGCAAGAGTTTGGTTTCCATGTAACTGGATTACACTGCACATGTTCCCCTTCATGTGCGTTTTCCACTTGCCGTTATGTTCCACTTGCCGTTATGTTTACAAAAACTCCCTCTGTTGATCACTGTAGCTAGGATTCATTTTTGTCGCTGCACAGAACCCAGTATAGTACTACCCCACGGTTTGGGATTGCTGCCGTGTTTTGCTTTTTCCCAAGAGCAGGGGAAGCACAGGAAGGAACATGCTCAAATTCACATTTTGTGTGGTGTTGCAGCTGCCACGTGGAGAGGGGCCGGGTATTTGGGAGGTGGAGGACCAGTGAGGAGGGCACTGCAGTTACGTGCCTGGCATCCCTTCCACAGGCTGCCGCTGCCCAGCAGATCCCAATCTCTCTTCACACGTCTCTGCAGGCCCAAGCCCAGCTGGGACTGAGGGGCGGGCTCCCTGTCTCCCAGTCTCAGGAGATCTTCAGCTCTTTACAGCCCTTCAGGTGAGAAGCAGGGACTAGGGGGGCTGGCAGCTCACAACCAGGGAGTCACACCACTGTGGCCTGCAGATTTGGTCTTCGTTCTGCTGTTGCTCTGCGCCTCTGCTTTGGGGTAGGTTGGGAGTATGGTGAACCGTCACTTTGCAGTTCCTTATTATCGTGCTGTAGGAGAGGCCGTGGGCCTGACCTGCACGTCCCATGTCATCCAGCCCGTCCCTGACCCTTCCTCCCACCTCCCCCCACCTTTGGCCTGCTCTTGCAGTGTGTCTGATGTCCTGTGCCTTTGGCATCGCCTTGCACAGCCTGGATGTGTCCATTTAGTTAATCCACTGGTGTGCGAACTGTGTGTGCCCAGACTAGCAGCAGCAGCCCAACGTAGGAGCTTGTCATAAATGCAGATTCTTGGGCCTGTCCCAGACCTTCTGAGTCAGAAGCTCTGGGGTCTGGGCCAGCAGTCTGTGTTCTGGTAAGCCCCCGGGACATTCTCGTGCACGCTTGTATGTGTGATCACTGGTGTACTCACACCCCTGACCCCAACCATCTGTCTGCCTTTTACAGATCTCAGGTGTACATGCACCCCAGCCTGTCACCGCCCAGCACCATGATTCTCTCTGGAGGCACAGCCTTGAAGCCTCCGTACTCGGCGTTCCCAGGAATGCAGCCCTTAGAGATGGTGAAGCCCCAGTCCGGCTCACCCTACCAGCCCATGAGTGGAAACCAAGCCCTGGTCTATGAGGGTCAGCTCAGCCAGGCAGCCAGTCTGGGCGCCTCCCAGTTGTTGGACTCGCAGCTCCCACAGGTCAGGAATGCCGTCACTCCTACCCCAAAACACTAGGTCTCGTTCCTTCATGCCTGTTGGTCCCTTCCATTTGCCTCTTGGCTGACCTGCATACTGTAGGAAGGACCTCCAGTCCTTTGGCCCGTGACATGGTCTCTCCAACACAGCTCCTGTCCTAGTTCTCGTTGGATTCTGTGTCTGTGTAGATGATGCCTCAGTTCTCCATCCCCCCAGGACCAGGTCTCCTTGCACCACGCTCTCTGCTCACAGTCCCATCTGGACCGGGCTGTCAGCTCTGCTGTCATCTCCAGCTTAAGGATCCTGCCCAGTAATCACCTCTGACTTTTCTGACTCACTGTGTCTAGCGTGTCAGCTCTAGGCCTGCTTTTGCAGCACTTAACACTTAGGGACCCACTTTCTTCCTTGCCCTAGTGAGTGGAGCCACTCCTTTGCATTGGTACACCCCCAGCCCTCCACGCACTGTGTCCACCTTGGGTAAATCCAGCCCTACCGCTGCTGCAGCTGTCTGCTGGGAAGAAACACCCCGTCCAGACGCAGCTCGGGTTGAATCCACCTGTGCCCTGTCGGCCCACCTCCCTCCAGGGGTCTGGGTGCCCGCTTGCTGCGCCTAGTTCAGTCAGTCCCCACCCTCCTTGCAGCAGTTTCAGACTTGGAGCTCCAACCTCAGTGCCTTCTACTCCTACCATGATCTTGCTTCCAGTGTTACCAAGGAAACGTAAGCAATAAAAAGGAAAGAACTTGTGCAAGCTCCCACTGCCCCTCTCCTTCCACAAGGGTGGTCTGGCCGTGCTTGGGGGCCCCGCTGCCCCTCTGCGGCCTCTGTCCTGCCCTCTCTGGGGCACTGCTCCGCAAGTCTCCTACTTCTCCTGTGTCAGATGTCCTTTCAGTGTTCAAACGTGCAGGAGGACCACCCTCAGGATGGGGGTCCTCCTGATGACATTCTCAGCCACCTTATTGTTCCCTTTAAAAATAAAACTTCTTCTAAGGACGCCAGGAAAGGCCGTGTTCCTGAACCTGACGGTCTACTCTTCACTGTCTTCCTGCTGCCTCCCTGAGGCCCTCTTCGTGGTCTCTGTTGATGTCGCCTTCTTGCCTCCCAGGCTCTGTCCCCAGGCCTCTTTCTGTGACTCGAAATCCTCTTCAAATGTCTGGCTTCCAATTTTCCCAGATTTCTATCTTCAGCCCAGATCTGTCTCCTGAACTAGATCCCGCAGGCTGCCCAGATCTGTGCTGTGGTGTCTCATGGCACCTCAAACCTCCTACCATGTGCAGACTTTATGTCCAAAGCATGGTTTGCATGGTTTCCTCGGGTCTTCTCCTTGTCCGGTCTGTGGCATGCTGGGGCCCTGCTTCCCCTCACACCCTGTCTGCTCCCTCAGCAGGTCCTATTTCCTCTTCCTTTGAAAGGTATTCAGAATCCAGCCATCTCTCATTGCCTCACACCTGCCACCCTGTCCAGGTGCTGCAGGAGCTCCCGCCGATTCTGCTCTTGGGCCCTGCACTCTGATCTTCACACAGCAGCCAGAGTGCCCCTTTAAAACACAGGTCAGGTCCCTCCACACCCTGAGCCAGTGCCCCAGAAGTGGCAGCGCTGTCTTTATCTTTGTCCCACACCCTGTTGTGTGCAGGCTGGAGTATGGATGTGAGGCTCTGGCTGCCACACGTCTCAGTGATGCAATTCCAATAGATCCTTCTGACCCTCCACTGTGGACTCGATGGCAGGGAGATGAAGAGGAAAGTGACTGAGAGACGGAAAGTGGCCCACCCTTGTCCCCTGTTCTGAGAGCCTCCAGGCCCACCACTCATGTACCTGGTTCTGGACTTCAGAGTGGGCCTCCCACCCTATTCTTCTGTTGTGATATACTTCAGAGGGATTCAAGAGGCTCCAGTTTGGTTGCAGGAACCCCAAACCCCAGAACCCAGTTGCATCTTGTTTTCTGTCACCTTTGGAGGTGCAGTCAATGAGTCCTGCCTTTTATGCTGCACGAAGGGATACAGAGAGAGCCTTCTGCGCAGCCTCCTCCTTGGGGGCTTGCCTGGATGTCACTTCCTAAGAAGCCTTCCTGGCCTCCCCTGCCTCCTCTCCCACCTCCAGCTTGCACTTTGCACTCTGGGCACCCTGCAGCTGTATTCAGCTGCGCTTTCACCACCATTTCCTGGGTCTGGCAGTGTCCTGGCACTTCCCCCACATAGTGTGTTCAGTGAACCCTTTTGTGGGATGAAAGCAACGAGGGCTGGGGCACAGGACCTCTGCAGACTCAGGCGTGGTGCACTGAGACTGTCCCTGTGCTGCCTGGTCCTGCAGTTGTTTCCTTGCCACCTGCTGATGTCCAGAGATAAGATTTGTCCCCACCACTGAGAGTGTCAAATCTGGGGTGATTTCTGCTGTGCTCTAATAGAAATCCAGAATCTTCACTACTGGGCAAAGACCTCACTTTAATTCTTTGGAAATAAGAATCTGAAGTGCAGTATGTGGTTGCTTTCGGGTGTCCGTGTAAACAGTGGTTGGTGGCTGTCTCCCCAGTATCGATTCCTTCTAACTGTCCCTGTCATCCAGCAGCTGACAATGCCGCTGCCTGGCTCCCAGCTGCCTCTGCCACGGTACGGCTCTGGGCAGCAGCCCCTGCTTCTGCCACAGTCCATCCAGCTGCCGCAGGGGCAGAGCCTCTCTGTCGGGGCCCCCCGAAGAATTCTTCCACCTGGGTCTCAGCCTTCTGTCCTTAACACCAGCAGAGAGGTAAGGATGACTCCCTGCTTGGTTCTGGGGAGGGCCCAACCCTTTCTAGCTATTTGCGAACCGATGTTGTAGCAGAAAATGCCAAAGGGCTGGGATACAAGCTCCTGGCTTCACCAGACCACTGATTTCCTATTCCTGAAGGACTCCCAGAACCCCTGGGTTTGCGTGTAAGCTAGCAGTGTGAACAAGTGGGGTGTGTCTTACACAAGGACGGCATGTGCAGCTGGCACCTGAGTACCTGTGGAGCCTGCTTTACACACAAATTCTAGAGATCCTGACAGCGCATTCCCAGGGCTGGGATCCAGGGGCCTGCACTGCTCACCAGCCCCAGGGGCTCTGTTAAGGGGCTCTGCTAACCGTCTCTGGGGGAGATAGGTGGTGGTCACAGCACAGTCAGTGCCCTGTGGGGGTGTGGCCCCACCCAACTCAAAGAACAAATACAGGAATGGCTTCTTCCTCTGAGTACAAGTCCTCAAGCCCAGGTGGAGGGGAATGCATGCAGATTCCTTTAGAAGGTACATTTCTATCTGGAAATTCTCAGGGGCCCTCACTGGCTATGCCCAGGGTGGCTTAGCAAGGGCCAGGCTGTCTCCAGGGCCAGCGAATGACAGCTTGCCACTTGGTCTCTTTAGTCCTCTCAGATGGAGATGAAGGGCTTCCACTTTGCCGACAGTAAACAGAATGTTCCTTCAGGAGGCTCTGTGCCGTCACCACAGACCTACAGGTAAAGAAACGCCCTGGGGTTGGTTGCTGTGTAGCTGAGCACTCGCTGTAGATAGACGCGGTGGTTCAGGAGGGTCTGTGGGCCCCAAGGAGAAGAGCAGAGGGCACTAGGCGAGTGGGTCCATGAAGTCCCAGTGTGGGGGCACACGTGTCCTAGTTAACTGCACCACAGGAGGGTCAGAACTGGGGGAGTGGTTTTGCTTTGAATCATCGTAATAAAGGCTCTGGTTTGGGAGAGCTTTCTAGAAAGGAAGGAAAAGGACTAGCTAACATTTCATTTTAATAGTACTGGGGCTGACCCTGACTGCTCACAGCTTTCTCACTGGACTTCAGAAAAGGATTCACTGGCCAAGGAGGCACAGACCCCGGGAGGGAGGCGGTTCCCTTGCTGAGCCGCACTCCCTGCACTGGCCTCTGACGCTGCCGGGACTTGTCACTGTTGCGTGTGTGGGGCCACACTTCACGCGGGATCAACTGGCCCCTTCTCTCTGCTTCCTCTATATCTTTCTCTGCCTCCAGCAACTGTCCCAGGTCCCTTAGCTGGATTCAGAGGTGACTTTGTAGGAATTCCTGATTGAGTTCCTATATTAATAAGTCAAGAGAACCTCTGCTTCTCTGGCCCTTTTAGCCCTTGAGGAAGTGTGCTGGGTTGGCAGGCAACATGCTCTGGCTGTGGGCCCAAGGGTTGGTACAGTCGACTCTTGTTACATGTGGGAGATTCCACCTGTTGGTACATGAGTAACACAGACCCAGGAGGCTTGCAGAGCTGTGTGAAGCCAACCGCACAGCGCCAGTGTGCCATAAAGTCCCTCCGCGGGCACACAGATGCCTGCCCAGTTGAGGACCATTGCCAGTCGGGTCACTGTCTCTGTGAGTTCTTGCTGCAGTCGCTCTGCTCATTGTTCTTAGACGTCGAGGCCGAGTCCTCCTCTGCCACATAATTCCATACTTCAACTGCATTTCCAGAGAAAGGGATTTTTATGAAATTTTTCCATGTCATCATCTTTTCTGTTCCTGTTTTTACTCTTGGCTTCACTTATTCTCGTTTGTTTTCTGACCGTGTTTTTTACATAGGCCCAAACAACAAAACTGTAAGAAAAATAAACATGGATGGCAGCACAGAACAGTGAGGATAATTTGGAAGAAAGAAGGCAGCTTCAAGTATAAACAGACGCTGGCGTTCCCTGCTGCCATAGGCAGGCAGGTTTTAGCAGCGTCTGGTGACAGGCAAATCTAGAATATGGAAGCTCACCTAACAAGAGTCGCCTGTGTCCACTTAGTTTAGGAAAGGCAGCAGCTTTATTCTTGGGGAGGGTATTTAGAAAGTATAAGCCTTAAACTGGTAGCCTTTGTTCTGTCGGTGTTTCAGTGGGGCTGGGAAAATTGGTGTATTTTTAGGGAGCAGTGTTTCCCAAGGGTTCTGCCAAAGAAGGGTTTCCTGGTCAGCCTGGGGGGGGGGCGCTGTGTCCGAGACGGGCTGTGGGAGTCACGCTGCTCAGCACGGGGTCCAGGTGGGCCCGCTGCTGGGAAGCCTGTTGAACTCTGTGCGAGCCCTTCCCTTGCTTTCTGGCCACAGAATGCTTCCGTTCACAGAGCACCTCGTTAACGTGCATGGGAGCTAGTTGTCTGGTCAGTGGACCCCATCTGGAAAGATGTTCTACATTTTCCTTCCTTTTGGTATCTTTCTCTGCCCCTCCCTGCCATGAAAAGTGAAGACTAGAAAAATACTCGGCATAATTCTTATACCGGGTTTATAGACCATTTGTGTGGGTCATGGATGGAGTCATGTAGGTCCAGACCTTCTAAACCCTGAGAGAGAGCTGGTGTCCATCCATGTGTGTGGTCAGTGTCTGCCTGTAGCCGGGGTGGGGGCCGCTGCCCCCTCAGGTGCATCTCCACGGGCTGCACTGGCAGAGCCAGGGCCGTCCCTGTCCACTGCCCCTCGCCCCTTCTGCACGCCGGCTTTCTGAGGTCTTTGTTTTCCTCCTTTGTGGAGAGGCCCACGAGCCTGAGCCAGGGCCCACCGTGTGCTGGGCTTGGCTCCGTTTCCGTGGTGACGCGTGTGTGTTCTCACCCCCTGCCTTTGGTTTTTTCAGGCCTAGCTCTGCTAGCCCCAGTGGGAAGCCCTCTGGATCAGCAGTTAACATGGGCTCTGTGCAGGGACACTACGTTCAACAGGTAGAAGATGGCTTTCCAGACCCTCTGGCCCCGGACGCTTAGGCCCGTCTCCAAGCGCCCAAAGAGAAGGGCCCATCCAGCCCGTTTGAGTGCTGCTATTAAAAAGAGAGGCGTGCCCTAGCACTTAAGAGCATGGCGCCGGGAGCCGGGCAGCCCGAGTCCCTCCTGGCAAAGGCATTTCTCCTCTTGATGGGCGTCTGGATCCTTCCTTGTCCTGCAGAGAAGGGAGGATGCGGATTCCTCTGAGGAGGTGACGCCAGGAGGAGGACAGTACCCCGTAGCAGTGTGGGCTGTGGAGGCCCTGGGACTCGGTTAGGTCTGTGGGTCAGCTCTAGAAGCTGGGGCGTGTGCTTGCATGCGTGTGTGCGTGCGCGCGTGTGTGCGTGCACCTGCTGACTCTGGTGAGTGCTGTGTCTTGTCTGTGTCTTGGCTGGGTGGGCTTACAGATGGCAGGCGTTTCCCATTTTATAACGAACAGGATGTCTCAGTATCTTTGCCCTCAGGCACTCTCTTCTTTGCTTCCACTCTAAGATGTGACAGGCTGCAGAGCTCACACATGGCAGGCATGGGTTTTCAATAAAACAGCACTCTTGGTGTTGGAAGTGGAAGGTTGACCACTCACTTCACTTCTCCGAACCTGGCTCTCTGGAGGTCACTCCTTGATTGCTTGGACTGAGCTTCTAGAGCTTTCTTAAGATTTCCCACCCACAGCTGTACGAGGGGCAGAGTCGAGTCCACTGCTCTGTGACACACTCCACTGTGCAGAGCTGCAGACAATGGGACCCTGCTGGGATCTCGAGGTCAAGCTAGAGTCCTGGGAAAAGGTTTCCACAAAGTGGGAGCCAGGGACAGTCAAAGAAAGGGGAGAAACAAGTCTTCTAGACTCCCTGCCCTGTTCAGCACAGTCGGGGGTGCTGAGGCTCATGGGGTGTCCTGGCATCGCCTCAAGGGCTTTTAATCTGAGGGGTGTGGGGTGCACTGATTTGAAAAGGTTTTCCCCCATATTCAGCCTTGGATATGCCCCCCCCCCCCACTCCCAGAGGCCCGTGGGCATCACATAGTGCTTCGAGAGGACCTGGCATCTTCCTGCCTCTCTGATTCACTGCACTAAGTGACCGTGGGAGGGGACAGCCTCACACCAGTGTCCTTCTGGGAGAGTGGCTTCTAAATAAGTGTAGTCCTTTGAAGAGTGGACTTCTCAGGGTAGCTCTTCTCTGTGACTCAGGAGCAGGAAGGGGGTAGTACGAACTGTATATCCAAATATTTCTGCATAAGGGTAATAACTTTGTCTCCATTCATCTGTCCAAAGGCAAAACAACGAGTGGATGAAAAACCCAGCCTGGGAGCCGTGAAACTGCAGGAGTCCCCTTCGACTGCCTCTCAGATGAAGCGCACTGGAGCGATCCAGCCTCGGGCCGTGAAAGTGGAGGAGAGCAAGGCCTAAAGGTGCCTGGCCATGCCGCCCTCTCGAGGACAGTGCCTCGACACAGCCGGACTCTTAGGAATCGCACCAGGTCCACGTCCCGCTGCCTGGCCCGGACTGAGAGCTCTCCCTTCTCTTCCCTACTTCTGAAAGCTCATTGTCCCACCAGCTTGCACCCGTGGATATATGGCATCGACCTGCTTGCTTTAATACAGGACAGACAGACAAGCAAACGACTCCCATCCCGTCTCCTCTCCACGGCGAAGTGGAGTGGCTCAAGGCCTTTGTGCAGTGTGTCACCCCTGCCTCCTGCCCTGTCCCTCCTCCCAGCCAGGGCGCTTCCTCAGCAGTGCTTCCTCCCCTCCAGCCTGTGGGTCCCCAGGCACATTGGTTTGACAGCAGGGTCGTTTTAGTTTGAGGCTTTTTGTTTTAAAAAACAGTTAAGGTTTTTACAAAGGAGAAAAGAAAAGAAAAACACGAGCTCTCTCCATATAGCTGAACTTTTCTACGCCCTTTGCCGTCCTCTCCCCACCCCTCCTCCTCTATTCCAGTGGTGTCCTTTAACCTCCTGTTGGGTTTGATGTGTCACTGCGATACCTTAAGAGATGACTTCTAAGAATGCATCCCTTCCCACTCCCTCGCGGTTGGTTAGCCTTTGAGGGTCCTTGCCCAAAGAAGTGGAGGTTGCTTTAGACACCCCTCGTGAGTACTCCGATGTCCAGCAACACTCTTTGGAAGCAGATTTGGGAGAGGTAAGGTGTTCCGGTTGGGTTCCAGCTGGCCTGATGGCTGCAGGGAGCTGATGGGCAGCCCAGTGAAGTGGATATGTTTTAGCATAAGAATTACGCAGCATTTCTGTCTGGGACTCTTAAAGCTAGTGGATCCTGACATCTAGGCTCCTGGAGTGAGTCATGGAGATACCAAGTCACTGGTGGTTTCCAGTTTCACGTGGACGGTGCATGGACAGCACCACAAGCCCCCACCTGCGTCTCCGTTTATGGGGCTCCAGTTCCCACATGGACCCCCATCCCGGAAGCCTCCTGAATTAGGCCCTTCTTTTTTCTAAGCCTCTTTCTCATCTGGATCCTCCTGTCCCTCCACTTCGTCGTTAGAAACTGTGAGGTCCTCCACATGGTCACTGGTGTGTGAGCAGCTGCTTGGGCTGGTCTGCAGCAGAGGTGTGCAGTCCGCCGGGTGGTGGGGAGGCTCCTCTCTATCCTTTTCGTTCCCAGCAAAGGGTTGTTGGGACAGAAAGGCCTGAGCTGGGAAGCGGGCATCAGTCTTCCCAGATGGCCATGGCTGTGTCCAAGGAGCGGATGGATTGCAGGGCTCCATGGTTCCAAAATAGCCTGGGTGGCCTCAGAAAAAGGACAGCCTCTTAAGTCTACAGAGCCACCTTTAGCAAAATGTTTGTGTGAGTCGTTTTATGCTGGTTTTGGTTTTTTGGGTCATTTCTCTTTTAAATAAGAACTAGAAGGAAATCATCCCCAGATTCTGTCATTCCAAGGAAAGGGGAGGGGAAATTTCAAGCTTTGCACATGCCCTTCAGAGTAACTAGCCAGTCGTCCACCTAAAGGAGTTGCTGCCTGGCCCCACTGGTGGTTCCAGAGCAGCCCTGGCTCGATGGTGAGCAGGAGTGGGCAGGTGTATGCCCCGCGGGTGTGCCAGCCGCTCGGCCTATAGTTGTAAGCCTAGGATCTAGTGGAGAACATGGGGAAAGAAGCACCTTAGAAACAGCTGAATAAACTTTTGTTGCCCTTTACTGCTTTAAGGCAGTGGGGGGTGCAGCCTCCTTAGCATAGAGTACCTGGGTCTCCTCTGGGTGTTATCTGCAGAGGGCCAGTCGTCTTGAAAGATGCCCCACTGCTTGATCTGTAGCTTTGAGCATACCCCGGCTTACCTCCACCTCAGACCTTCCTTCTTTCCTTTTTTTTCTTCATCCCCTGAATCTTTACTCTGAACTCCCTTCTCGAAGGGCTGCCCACTTGATGGAGTCGCCACACTCGCCTGCCCTGTGTGCTCGGCTACCCCGCCCTGAGCCCTGTGGACATGTGACTGCGGCCCCTGTGGCCCCTGTGGCCCCTGCTGCAGACAGGCTGCCCTGACTGAGCTCCTCTCCGGCTGTCCCTGCAGGAGCCGCACATTCGCTGCTGCCTGTGCGCTTAGAAACACAGCCAGACCCCTAGTTCCACCTGATTCCAGTGCACACTGTCAACAAGAAAAAAGGCTTTCTCATTTTGAAATTCAGCGTAACAGTTCTAGATGCTGTTACAAACTCAAGACATACCCTTCAGATGAACCTGCCATCAGAGTGACAGTACTTCAGAAAAAAAAGGGTCACCTGTTCTCCAGCCCTTTTCTCTACCCATGTATTCCCCCCCTACCCCAATAAAACAGAAAACACTAGAATTTATTTATATGTATTGATGTTGTAGGTCTAGGTGAAAAAAAAGTAAATGTTTCACTTTTCTATTTATATATAATGTCTGAATTATTCTGTGCAGGAAAGGCCAGGAAATTGCATGTAAAGTTCGGTGCATGCACCACCTCTGTGTGCCCAAGCTGCAGTCTTTCCCTCTAAGATCCAGATTCTGAATTGGCAGCTGGGGCAGTAGGCAGGCCTTGGGCCTGCCCAATACCCCGTCCCTTCCTTGGTCTGATTAAATGCAGTTTTTAGTGCAGAGATGTTTTAAGGTGCAATATCTCCCTTTCATGTGGTTTTAGAGCCAAGCTCAAAGTAACAGGACCTCAGATCTTATTTTGGTTTCAGATCCCCAGCCTCAGAGTGCAAATCTATGCAGGAGCCTGGATGCCTTTGGTGGGAACAGGTGTAGACCAGCACTTAGAGGTTTCCTGCTGTTGAGATGCGGGGTGGGGTGCCAGAGGCCTCTCAGCTGCACCTATATCTGCTAAATTTGCCCTCCCAGTGCTGGCAGCTTTGTCCTGGTTGATGGAGCAGCCAGTGCTCAGCAACCCGTGACCCTGCAACAGGATCTGTTCAGGGAGTAAAATCCCAGAGTGTGGGGCTGTGTATCCAAGTGGTGCCCTCCACCTACCGAACACTTCTCTGCCCGCTGTATTTGGTCTGTTTTTCTACTGTTGCTTCCCCCTTTTTATCCACATTATTGTTTTCAAACCTGGAATTCATTCACTTCTGGTCCAAAATTTATCAAGGGGGAAAACAAGGGAGGACTCCTCATACATTCAGAAATGAGTTGCTCCAGGTCCAAAGCTTGGTTGTCCCAACCCCTTCTAGGGATAGTGGGGTATCTTGTCACTAAGTATTGGCATCATGTCTCCAGCTATGCCCTCACCCTCCTGTCTTTGGAACTACTTTCAGGATGGTAGGTAGGTTTGTGAGTGATGCACACACAGCCATGCTCAGAACTGGCCCACTGAGTCAGTGTGGCAACCATAAAGCCCCCTCCCTGCTTTTTGGTTCCCTTCCACCAACTAATTGCATGTTTCCTCTCAAATATGTATTTGTCCCTTTTCACTTCTTGTGAGAGCAAAACCTAGGTGGGAAGGTCTGTTGGAAATGGCCTGTGACAACCAAGGACACACAGTGTGCTTTGTTGTGTTCTGTGATGAATGGGAAATGCAGACTCACGGAAAGCCAGCCCTTCCTGTTTGGAAGTGTGGGACGGACCTAAGAGAGGTCACTGGGACAGGAGTGGCTCAGTGTTGGGGTCAGACATTGTCCCTCAGCTATGCTCTTCAGCGGGACCACCAGCACATTTTTGGCCAGTGACCTAGCACACCTGACCTTGCCGTTCACTGATTCTCCACCCCAGCTGGATGGCCTCCAGGAGTAACAACATCCCTAGGGCCCTGTCATCACCATGTTACAAGGTCACGGAGTAGAAATTTCTAAGGCTCTATGGATGACTTTCTTCATTGTTTAAAGGGGATACTGTACTCTTAAGCTTTTGACCTCATGCCTTGCATAGTAAAAAGGGTTTGGGTATTTTTGTTATTTTTTTTGAGAGGGTTGTGTTTTGTTTCCTTTCGTTTTTATTTTGGCCTTTCCTCTATGTCTTTTCATGTAGAACAGATATTTGAAAGGGCGGACGATGGCTAAAGGTGTAACGTGCAGCTTGTTTATACATTATTTCTGGGACGCTTTTACTTCGAATGGGAAATGGAATCATGGACTCGCCAGGCCATGGGGCACACTTCACCCTTTGCCCTTCCCTCCGGTTCAGTACCTATTGTTTCTCCTTTCAAATATGTGATTGTACTAGCTCTTTCCATATGAAAGAATTCTCCTTATTTAAATTAAAAAAAGTTTAAAAAAAACCGCTAAAACTGAATATGCTGTCTCAGGCTGTGTCCCTTGATTCTGTCATTTGTTTAGAGAGAGGGAAGTGTTTTGGTTTCAGACAGTTTAGGTGGAAACAGGAGTGAGTTGGCTGAGATGCATTGACAGGAGAGAGAAGGGCTTGAAAGCTACGGGAGAGGGGTGAGGGGTCGGCGTGAACAGCCTCGCTCCTGGGGGTGGTACTGGGGGGGGGGTGGCAGCTGCCTGCCCCCTGCTCCCCCCACTCCCATGAGGAGGGAGGGGGTGGTCAGACGAGCTCCGCGTTTGGTTTATGTGTTGCCACTGCTAGTGTCCCTTTTTTTTTTTTTTTGCTTTCGGAAGTAGGGGAGGATTATGCTGTGATTTGGGGTAGGAAAGAGGAGCAAGCCGGGTCTGGGGTAGTGAGGGCTGGAGAACCTGGGCGTGAGTTCAGGCAGTGATTCTTGGTTCCGCCATCTCCTAGGGTGACCTTGGGAAAGTCAGTTCACTTAACAGTAAACTATAAAACAGACTATATTAGCCCCTACCTCGTGGGGTAGTGTGGATTCAGAGGCCTAGTGCCTAGCACGAGGTAAGAATGTAGTGAATTTATAAACTATCCCCAAGTACAGGAGGAGACCCCTACCCGTAGTTCCCTGCAGAGCCTCTTGGCCCATGCGTGGGCGTCTCTGCCCGAACGGCCACGCCGGTCCCTTGGACGCACTGCCCCGAGGGACGGGCGGGCCACACAACCCCGCGCGGAGCCGGGACGGCGGCTCCGAGCCCTGAGGACGGCCCCTGCGGGTGTGAAAAACCGGAGGCCGACAGCCCGGCCCCGCGCGTCCCGGGCGCCGCCTGCAGGAGGGAGCGAGCGCGGTGTCGGCGCCCCGCGCCGCCCTTCTAGGCCGTGTCTGTTCGACGCCACCGGCCGTGACGAGCATCCGCGCGGACGGTAAGGACCCCGCTTCCGCCCGGGAGGATCACACGCGGAGACGCGGGCCGGGGTGGGCACGCCTCCCTCCCACAGCCCCGGGTCGCTCCGCCGGGCGCGCTCCCGCTGGAGGGCTCCGAGTTGAGAGCACGGCGTGCGCAGGGACCCCGGAGCCTGCCTGGCCCGGCGGGTCTCCGCCCCGCCTCGGACGCCTTGCTGCCCGGCGGCCCCCGTGCGCACGCGCAAGCCCCGAAGGCGTGCGGAGTCGAGCGCCGAGCGGTCTCGCTCCTGCGCGTCGTCCCAACCGTCGGCCCCGGGGGCCGGCAGATCCGCGAAAACGTAGGTATCCCGGGGGCGCCGGGGACGAGCGCTCTGTCGGTGCGGGCCGTGCACGCGCGGCCTGCGGACGGGCTGAACCTGGGGCGTCCGGGGTACTGCGGGGCCGAGGGCAGGTGCGCCCTGGAGAGGTTGCCTGGGGGACGGGGGATCGCCCAGCAGGCGCAGCCTCGGGGAAAGTAGGGGCTCCTGGGGAGCGCAGACCTTCGGGAGAGCTGTGGCGGGGCAGACGCAACGGGGGCAGAGGGTCTGCGGAGAGAAGTGCCCCGGCCGAGGCCGCTGCGGCCTGCGTGTGGGACGGGGGCGCCCAGGGCTGGTGCATCCTTGAGAGGAGTGGAGTTCACGGGAACATGACGCCTCGGGCAGGAAGCGGGGGCGCCCGCGTGCACTTGCACTCTCAGGGTGAGAAAGGGTTCTGTGCTGCCCCCGAGAGGGGAGGAGGCCCGGGGCGGGTGAGGCTCGGGCTCAGCAGGTGGAGGCCACCAGCTGTAAGCAGCCCCCCTCCCGGGAAGCGCGCAGCTCGCGTTTGTGGAGTGACTTGTTGAATGAGTGGATATTCAGCTCTGAGTTCCCGAACTCCCACCTGGGCTCGCTGCTCTTCTCCTGCCCTTCTCAAGGGTCTGCCCCGCCGCGCGCGTCATCCCGTGCATCTGAGAGCCAGGGCGGTGGGGATCCTTTTCGGGGCTTCTCGTGAGCCTTCGGGTTTGCCGCCCATTCATTCACGGTCAACTCTTCCCTTTTCCAGGGCATCCACTCCAGCCTCGTTTTCTACAAGAATGCTGGAATTTTTGAAGCGCCCTGTGGTGGTGACAGCTGATATCAACTTGAATGTCGTGGCTCTGACTGCGGTCGGGTTACTGAGCCGCCTGTGGCGACTCACCTATCCCAGGGCTGTCGTGTAAGCCAGACAACTCCAGTTGGGGTGAAACAGGAAAGAATTGTCATTTGTTCACTGTGCTGGTGACAGGAAGTGAACAGCAGAAATGGGAGTGAAATTCTGGGCTTCTTGGTGATGGGTGAGTTGGGCAGTTAGAGGAGAGACTAGGTTGTCCCCAGGATAACCCCTGCTCAGCCCACCTGTTTGGGTCTTGCCCCATAGGTCTGTAGCAGATCAAACTTGGCCCGTGAAACAGGTGCAGTAGCCTTAGGTAAACATTTAAAATCTGGAGAGTGGAGGGCAGAGGACTGATGTATTTGGAAGCTGTGTACTTTGTCATAATGGGAGATGACTACTGTTATTAAGGGCAGGTTATTATTTGATTACTATGTGTGTTCTCTTTAGTTTAACTTTTTATCATGGAAACATCAAGCATATGCAAAAACAGGGAGAAACAGTCTAATGACCCCCCACGAATGTATTCATTACCCACCTTCAGTAGTTGCCCCTTCCCTGCAGCGGATTGTTTTGAAGCATAGACATTATATTTCATTCGTAAGTAATTTAGTATACACTTGACCCTTGGACAACACAGGTTCAAACTGCTCAGGTCCACTTATACATGGATTATTTTCAATAAATATATTAGATTTTTGACAGTGCGGCCAGCTCCTCTAACCCCCATGTTGTTCAAGGGTTGACTGTATATGTCTAAATCATTGGGGTTCTTAAAAGCAAAAACCACATGAGCATTCTCACATCATTTTGGCATAACAGCAATTTCTTGGTATCGTTGAATGTCTCTGATTGTCTGATAAGTGTTTGTTGCAGTTGGTTCCTAAGTATCTCCCATTTATACCTGCACCTGTTTCATTGGGCTGCCGAGTTTGATTCTGACTCTTGGCCACAGAGGGGCTGGTGGACCAGGGGCTTAGTTCCGTGTCTGTGAGGCTGTTCAGTAAGCTGGCGAATATACCCCAAGTTAGAAACTAGGGGGTAAATAGAAGCTGTGTTGGGCGAGCCCCAGAGTGCCCGACTCTTCCTGTTGAGTTTTCCCTGCTGTCCTTGTGGAAGGATGATGCTGTATGTGTCTTAACACTGGGGACATGATGTGGTTGGGGCAAAAGCTCCGAGCTTTGCTGAGCACTCCCTAGAATCATTTGGAAACACAGGGATACATTTATCCTTGCGCCTTTTGTTCACAGTTAAGAGTTCTGGTTGAATATAATGTGGGTTTTCTTTTCAGTTTTGATGAAGTGTATTATGGGCAGTACATCTCTTTTTACATGAAGCGAATCTTCTTTTTGGATGGCAGTGGACCACCATTTGGCCACATGCTGCTGGCCTTCGGAGGTAGGATTCATTAGTAAGAAAAGTAGCCCTTTAAAACTTGTAAGTGAAAATTCCTGAGGGTAGAAACCATGTCTTATTAATCATTCTCTATTGCCTGGCACAGTTTTGCCTCTGGAAATACTTGCTAAATGGGATAGTTACTGATTAATCTTCTATTTTAGGTTATTTGGGAGGATTTGATGGTAACTTTTTGTGGAACAGAATTGGGGCAGGTAAGAGATCATTTTTGTTTCCCTTATTAATTTGCATATATCAGAATGGAGAGTTGGTAGTGTTCATAGGCATAACAACTACAGTTTATTAACCTGAGTCCAGGGTGTGATGAGTTGAGTACAAGTGAAACGCTTTGGCAAAGCCTGGTGAATGTCTTAGTGCTTGGTTTCTGTCATTGTTTTATCCCTGGCTTTGGTACACATGGCACACTCTTTACTACATGGCATCTGATTGTAATTGTCTTTTGTACATAATGAGTTTTGTGTGTTCCCACAATGTTTTTGGAAATAAGTGGGGTACATTTATAAATAAGTAAAGCATTAACTAATTCCAGGATCCTGAGTCATCATTCCTCTGCTTAGCTAGCATTGGTCCTTCACTATATAAAGCTAATTTAAAGGCTTTACCCATAGCTTGTGCACCCCGTTCCTGAGGTGGTCCCCGTCTTGTGACCTTGTGCTTTAGAGCCTGTGAATATATTTCTCTGTCTGAAAACACACGTGTGGTGTATGAGGCTGGTGTGTGCACAGCGCACCCAGCTCCACCATGGTTGCTCCCCTAGAATACAGCAGCAACGTGCCCGTGTGGTCCTTGCGCCTGCTGCCCGCCCTCGCAGGGGCCCTATCGGTGCCCATGGCCTACCAGGTCCTGTTGGAGCTCCACTTTCCCCACTGTGCCGCCACGGGAGCTGCTCTGCTGCTGCTCATTGGTGAGACCTGGGCCTCGGCCTGCCTCAGTGTCCCGTGGGGAAGAGCTGAGCGCTGGCCTTTACCAACTTCGGTGTGCAGCTCAGGAGAGCCTGTGGGTTTAAATGTGCCCCTGCAGCATCCCCCCCAACAGGGATGGGAGGAAGCCTGTCCAGTTTTTTTCAGAGTTGACTGGGAGCCAGCCCGCTTCCAGGCGGTGGGAACGCGGAGCTGTATGGTCAGGCTTTAACGTTACAGGGGTGCAGTGTGTACATCACGGCCCTCAGACAGGTTCCCAGGTACACCCCAGTGCCTCCACCTCCAGCCAAGTCTGTCACGAAGTGGTAGCTGCCTTCATCCCGCCCCCTCCCAGGCCTCAGGCAGCCGAGACAGGCTCAGGAGCTAGGGGGTCCTCCTTAGGAAGAATCTCACCTGCAGCCCGGGTTTGTGAACACACGAAACTAACTCAGATGAAAAGTTAGACTAGAATAAAAAGGTCCAGTGTTTATTGAGTGATGACTCCAATTGAGACCCTGAGCTGACGTAATGTTTTAACATTCAGGGCTGCCCTACAAATTGGTATTACTTCTGCAAGTGAGAAAAATAAGGACTCAGAAAGGCTCAGAGTCCTGCCCAGGGTCACACAGGTCTCGGTAGGTGCGATTCACTCCTGAGAACTGGCCTTGGTGATTCTGGAGCGTGTTGCCCCCCCAGCCGTCCCGGTCCTGAACGGGCCGCCCTCACGCCCTGTGCTGTTTGGAACGTGCCTCTCCTGTGGATGTGTTCGCCTTCCCGCCTTGGTTCCCCCTGCCTTACCACTGACAGGCGCGCTGTCCTCTGACAGAGAACGCTCTGCTCACCCAGTCAAGGCTGATGCTTTTGGAGTCGGTGCTCATATTCTTTAATCTCCTGGCCGTGCTGTCCTACCTGAAGTTCCTCAACTCCCAGGACAGGTATGAGGGATGGGACATGTCCTTCCTGGTCAGTGAGGAAGGGGCGGTGGTGTGGCAGCCTGAGAAGGCCCGACACCTTTCTGTTCCGGAAAAGTCCTCATTTTGCTGTAACTTAAACTCATTGGACAAATGTTAAGAAAAATTCTGGGGTGGGTATTTTGGGGAGATGAGGATTCGTTTTTCTTGTGCCGTGGTGCAGCCAGCCGACCCTGAGAGACCTGAGAAATGTGGCTTCTCTGGCCATCAGGAGCTATTTCGGGAGCTGGTCCCAGCCTCGCTTTTCTGCTTTGCCTGCAGGCCCTTCTCCCCGAGCTGGTGGTTCTGGCTGACACTGACGGGAGCGGCCTGTTCCTGTGCGGTGGGGTGAGTCTGGCCCGCGGGTCTAAGGTGGCGTCCACGTCCTTGTGCTGGGTCTCGTTTTAGCTTTCTCCCTGTTGTGTCTTTTCAGCACCAGATACACGGGCATTTTCACATACTTGCTTGTGCTTGCGGTCGCCGTTGTCCACGCCTGGCACCTGATCGGAGACCAGACTTTGTCAAATGTAGGCGCTGATGTCAAAAGCGTCAGGGGGCTGGGCCGAGTTGGGGCGCAGAGGGAGAGATGGGTGAAGAGGCTTCAGAGGAATTCAGGCTGGCACGCCTCCCTGCGGCACCTGCACGCCAGCTCTGAGTGTCTGCCGCGGACTTTCCCAGAGCCGGCAACACGCGAGCCAGGCACCCTCGGGCCTCGGGAAGTGACCCTGCCCCGCCTTCCGGCAGGTCCGTGTGCTCTGCCATCTGCTCGCCCGAGCAGTGGCTCTGTTGGTTGTCCCGGTCGTCATGTACTTGCTGTTCTTCTATGTCCACTTGATTCTGCTCCACCGCTCTGGGCCCCATGACCAGATCATGTCCAGTGCTTTCCAAGCCAGCTTAGAGGTAAGACGGGTGCCACGGCCACCTTTGAAAGAGGACAATAGACTCACAGTTTCCTTATGTAAACGTCAGCAAGTGAACATTGGAGGAGAAACCAAATCAAGAAGTAAAAACTCCAGGGAAACAGGGAGGGGGGAAAAAAAGTGAGGAATCCGTTTCAGTAATTCTAAATTAATTCTGAGTGTACTGATGGTCTGGAAATACACAAAGGGGTTAGCTCTTCATTGTGACCTCCTTGAGGACACTGTAGGGTCCTGTAAACTCTGGGCAGTTGCAAATGCTTCATAGGACAGTGAACTCTGGTGTTTATTCCTATTAACTTCGCAAAAATAGTAAAATGTACCAGTTGAGGTAGGAATGCAGACTCCGAAGTCACACGGACCTGCTCTTAAATGCAGGCTCCGTCAGTAGCGTGTTCCATGTGTTTGGGCTAGTTTCTTAACCAAGTCTCATCTTTTAAACAGACATAATTGCTCTCCCTATTGGAGGCTGCCCTTACGGCCTTACTGAGGGCCTGTGCGGAAGGACAAGGCCATGCCCAGCATCTGGGGTGCAGCCAGTTTGGCAGTAGCTGCAGTTGCAATTGTGTGATGCAGTGTGCCAGGACTGCACCACCCACAATCATAGCTGGCCATCGCCGCCACCCCAAATATGTCCCCCCGAGGGAGGAGTGTCTGTCAGAGAGGCTGGCATAGATTTGTCCCTCGCTCCGTCTCTCCCTCGCCACCTTCCGCTTTTGTCCTAGGGAGGGCTCGCTCGGATCACGCAAGGCCAGCCCCTGGAGGTGGCCTTCGGTTCCCAGGTCACTCTGAAGAGCGTCTTTGGCAAACCCATGCCCTGCTGGCTTCACTCCCATCAGAGCACCTACCCTGTGATGTAAGGAGAGCAACCATTTTAATTCGAAGATTATAAAATGTTTTTCTTTTTACATGCCTTTGCTGTTATCAGCTCTCACTGTAAATGAAGAAGTGTATGAGGCACAAAGGACTCGAGCTCTATGTCTTGATACCCATGAATCTTGTCATTTCTGTGCTGGCAGTCACAGAGACTTGGGGAGCAGAGGGGCCTGGGGCGCTCGTGCGGCAGCCACGCGGTGCCCACGCCGGAGCTTTCTGCTGGACCTCCTGCTGCTTAGGTTCCCATCTTGTAGCCCCTCCTAGATGTAAAGGTTCACCTGTTTCATCCTTATTTGCCCTGAACGCCCCCTGAGGGAGTATTTGCAGGAGCCTCGAGAGAGGGGCTGCCAAGCCCCTTGGCCAATCCACACACAGACGCATTTCTTTCTTGGTGACTTCCCACAGATACGAGAGTGGCCGAGGCAGCTCCCACCAGCAGCAGGTGACCTGTTACCCCTTCAAAGATGTCAACAACTGGTGGATCATAAAGGATCCTGGGAGGTACGTAGAGGTCCCCGGATGCCAGGGCAGAGCTTGCCTCTGCCTGGCTGGACGAGGCCCTCGGGCTCAGTTCTGCTCTGTGTCTGCAGTTCCTCCCTCGAAGCTTTGACACCAGCTCTGTGCTCGGTCTGCTCTTTCCTCCACAAGCCAAGCCGCCTGCTCAGTGTCTCCTGGGGGTTGTACACTGTGTCCCACGCTCACCTCCACCTGGGCCCTCAAACACTGCTCCCTCCCCTCCATGCAAAAACAAGAACAGCCCCCTCGCTGTTAGGCTTCATGGCTGGAGGGTTCCCCCTGCTCTGTGGTCCTCTCTATTCTGCCTCCAGACAAGATCCTGAGTTGCTGGACCACTGGGGTCTCTGTCCCTGCTGTCTGCTGCCTCCCACCAAAGGGTCTGCTTCCACTCCTTCCTGGCCCGACTACTCCCCGCATTCCAGCGTCAGTCCCACCCCGACCCACTCACCTTTTAAGAAGTAAAGCATATCAGGTCACTCTCCTGCTCAAACCCCTTGTGCTTCTGCTTCCACTGCCCTTAGAATGAAATCCAGACGCGTCGGGCCAGGGCCTACAGAGTCCGGCTCCAGCCTCTGTCCCGCCCTGCCCCTGCTCACAGCACCTCTAGAGCAAGGCAGGCTCCTGGACTTTGCACATGCTGTTCCCACAGCCTGGAGCTGTCCCGCCCAGCTGGCTCCTCACTCAGAACCTGAAGGTCAGCTCTTCTGAGGCTGCCCTGACCACCACCCGAGGCTCCATGCCCTGTCACCGTCCTGTTGGCTTCCCTGCATCCTTGTTGTCAGCTGCCAGCTGTTGAGCTGTTCGCTCAGTTTGTTATTTCTTCCACTCGATGCAGTCATTTGGGTGCAGCACCCATGTCTGGCTGTCAACCGTGTGCTCAGCGCCCCACCCAGTGCCGACCTGAGAGCCTTTAGTACGCTTCCATGGCATGATTCCTGAACAAGAGCATCTGTCAGGGAGGACTCCCGGGCGCGCATGGGTGTTTATCACTGGGACAGTCACAGAACAGCCAAAATGTGACTTGTAAACGGGACGACGTGGGGAAGCTGCACAGTGATCTTTGGGTCCAGAAAAGAGCTAAATAAGCATACATGATTTGTTTCCACACAAGTTCACATCGTGTGAGATACAGGCAGATTGGGCAGCTGCACCTTCAAATCGCCCTGGCGTGAGGAGCTGACGGCCTCGTACCTCTGGAGAGCACGTTATTCTGAGGCCCCACGCTCACCTGTATGGCTGTGCTTGTCCCCCAGGCACCAGCTGGTGGTGAGCAGCCCCCCAAGGCCTGTGCGACACGGAGACATGGTGCAGCTGGTGCATGGCATGACTACCCGCTTCCTTAACACGTGAGTGTCCCATCCCCGCGGCTCTCCGTAGGCCCTCCTGCCGGGTTCACTTGGCTCACAGCAGGCACGACAGGCCTCTCCCAACCTCAGGGGCGGAGAAGCACTTCAGTCTGTGCTCGGTATTGGATGGGGGCCCTGGTGATGGCATAGAGGGGAGGGGTGGGGCAGTAGGGCCTCGGTAGGCATGGTGGCGTCCAGCGCGTCCCACAGTGAGCTTGGAGGGATGCGGCTGATGACTGGAGAGTCCTCTGCTTCCCACACCAAGAAGGGGCTGCGGTACGCGGTGCCCAGCGCCGGTGTCAGGTGGAGCGCAGTGGAGGGGTCTCCCCCGACGCCCAGGGCTTCTCAGCCTCAGCTGGCTGACCTCCAGCCGCCTTCACACACTGACGCGCAGCTGCTGCCTCTCCTGCCCCCACCCGGCTTCTCGGGCCATCTCAGGGGGGCTCAGTGTCCCGCAGTGTCGTTCCTCAAGTCCCAGCTTCCCCGATGCCATGGTGCCCATCAAGGTTCCCTGGGGTGCCAGCAGGTTCCTGCCTCTGGCCTGCTGCTCCCTGGAAGGAGCTGTCAACCTCAGTTCTTGCTTCCCTTCCCGCCCACCGCCCCAGTCGAGGCCCCGTTGCCTGTGCTGCTGGAACCGGTGCCTGTCCTCCTGTCTGTGTCCCTGCATGCAGCAGCACCCTTCAAGAAACATGAGCTCCACTGCATCGTGTCCCTGCTGAGAGCCCTCCTGTGACCTCCACAGTGTGACAGTCACACTTACCCACTTTGCCATGGCTGCAGCCCTTTAGGAGCTGGCCTCAGTGTGACCCGTGAACTTCATTTCAGTCACCCTGGCCTCCCACTGTCCTCAAAAGGACCCAGTGCTGTTCCCCTGGGCCTTTGCTGCTCTATCTTCCTGGCATGGCCACCAATTCACGTTCCCACGGCCCACTCACCATATTCAGGTGTCAGCTGAAATACCACCTCAAAAAGCATTTCCAGGTGCTGTCCCCACCCTGCCGCCCGTTCAGTTTTATCGGCAGCACTCACAGCCTGACTCTCGTGCCCACCAGCACCTTGGTCTGTTTCTCCTGGGGTGGGAGGACTCTTGCTGCCCCTCTGCAGAGCCTGGCGTGCAGCATGGTGAGGCATGATGAGGGGTGAGCAGGGGATGCGAGATTTCTGGACATTTGAGGTCAGCGTCACAGAGGGCACCTAGTCTTCCAACCATGCTCCTGGCAGCCTAGCCATTCCCGGGTTCTGGCTGCTAGGGAGCCGACAGCCCATGTGTGGCCGTGCTCCTGGGACAGCAGGCCCCTGACTCTGAGACCTGGTTTGTCACCTGAAAGTGGAATAGCGAGACCTGGGTTGTATAGACATGTCTGTCAGATTCCCCATTGCGTGTACATTTCCCCCTTAGAAATGGGATTATTGGGGAGTCTGTGCCTTTTTGGGGCTTTGCTATCACCAGGCCCTCAGGTGCTCCATCCTTGGACAGGGCAACTGCTGGTCTGGGCTGTCTTTTCAGGCTAAGCTGGCTTTGTTTCTGAAAAATGGCTTTTTCTCCTGAAAAAAACAATGATTGCATTTCAAAGGAGTTTGAGGAATTCCCTCTGTGAGATTATTTGGTTTTCCAGGCATGACGTTGCAGCCCCCCTGAGCCCCCACTCGCAGGAGGTTTCCTGCTACATTGACTACAACATCTCCATGCCCTCCCAGAACCTCTGGAGACTGGTGAGTCCGTGCTGGAAACGGCTTGCGCTGTCCTTCAGCAACACGTGCTTTCTAACACAGAACGTTTAAAACCATTAGACTAATTCTGGTTGAGGTGTAAGACGAGGTAAGTGACTCATGGCCGTCAGTCAGATGTTTTCATTGGGAACAGAGCCGACCTCCAACACAGGACGTGGGAATCTGCATGGCTTCTGTGTCAGAGGTTCATGAAACAGTCGATCGGCATTTGGTGCTGACTCACATGGCTCTGCTAGGCAATGATTTCCTCCAACTTGGTTGCTTGTTGGGCCTCAAGATCAGGTCACTGAAGACACAGGGTTTGGGGCTCTGGCCATCCTTCTCAACCAGTGGGACCTCTCCTGTCAACCAGTTGCCCTCCTTGTGAATGTTCTGGGAAGGCCTGACCCTCCAGTGGGGGAGAATCCTCAAAATCAGCCTTCAGGGCTGCATGCTGCATCCTGGGAAAGGTGGCAGGAGAGCCGTGTACTGGGCCATTGCGCCATCTGTGAACTCAGGGACATGAGCCCAGTGTAGGGTGGCAGTCAGGCGATTCCAGTAGCTGCACGGGGCCAGCTCCGTACAGTCAGCCTCCCCTTCTGGTCTCCAGCTGGCTGTTTAACTGCAGCCCTCCATTTCGATTCTCGTGAGTGACTGAATAGTGTGAGTGACAACCACTTGGTGTGGCGCTGGGAGGCCTGCAGAGGCCAGCCACGCCTGTGAGCACAGCAGTGGGCGCCTCTGCCCCTCCTGCCTTCTCTGTGCTAGACACTGGTGCGCATTCTGCTGCCACACCCCCTCTGATGTCCCGCCTTGATGCGAGCTGTCCCCGCCTGCCCTGGTCGCCTCCTGCTCAAATCCCAGTGCAATTTCTGCTGAAGGTCCCGCCCTCTCCCTTCTGCCGTCTTGCTGCTGATGGCTCATTTCCCCTTTCCCCCCTTTCCCCTGCCGCTGCCTCCTCGGTGCCTGCTGGCACCTGCAGCCCCCCACGCCCACGCCTCCAGGAACTGAAGCTCACAGAACAAGAAGGAAGGATGGCCGCCCACAGAGCCTGCCCCTTGGCCAGGCGTCCTTCCCCTCAGTCCCATGTGGCCCCTGGTTTTTGTCTACAGCTGCGTGAGCTCATAGGGTTGTCAGGAGGTTCCTGCAAGTTAAGATACGATGATTCCAGGTGTGCTGTGGATGTTCGTGTTTTGCTGGTACTCCTGATATAAGGAATCCCCCTCGGGACATCTCACAGGGCAGTCTCCAGCCTTGGGGCCCTCTTTGTATTCACCATATAAGGACCGGACTCGTTCAGTTTGGGGCCTGAGCTCTGTGTCTCCTGAGCAAACAGAGGGAGTGTCAGACTTCGAAGTCCCAGCCATCAAGCCTCACTGAGCGAAGGAGAGGGCGCGCCTCCCGAGCCGAGAGCCAGCCCCAGCCTGCCCGCTCTCGCGGGCTTGTCCCCTTACGTCAGGCCACATCCATTCATTTGTTTGGTAACTGGTCTCCATTTCGCTTTGAAGGAAATTTAAAAAAGACTGAAGTAATGGGCAGGGTCCGCTTTTACAGGACATTGTAAACAGAGAGTCAGACACGGAGGTCTGGAAGACCATCTTGTCGGAGGTCCGCTTCGTGCACGTGAACACCTCTGCCATCCTCAAGGTAAGGGAGCAGCGGTCTGGATCCCCTTCCTGACCTCTGCAGGCCCAACAGGCTCCTAGGCTGGACGGTTGGTCATTCATGGCCGTGTTTACACTGACAGAGGTGGGTCTTTACAACTTCTCAGAACTGAGTCCTGTCATGCAGACCCCACAGAGGAGAATCTATGCCCTTGTGGCCACTGAATCATCAGTGAATCACAGGTTGCCTGACCTGGTGGTGGGTGAGCCAGAGCCTTGGGCCTCCCGTCATACCCTCTGCCTTTCTTGATTTTGCTAGGTGAGCGGGTCACACCTCCCCGACTGGGGGTTCCGGCAGCTGGAGGTCGTTGGCGAGAAGCCGTCCCGGGGCTCCCACGAGAGCATGGCGTGGAACGTGGAGGAGCACCGCTATGGAAGAAGTGAGTGCCTGGGCACACTCACTGGCGCGCGGTGCTCTCGCACGAGCTTTCGTCCAGGGGAGCTAGCCAGTGTCCACTGTCCCTCCCTGTGCAGCTGAAGCTATAAACAACTAAAGATACTACTCCCGGGCGTGGGTGGAAGGCAGCAAGCTGGGCTTTCTAAGTTGAAAGGTCCAAATCTGGTGGGGTGGCACTGCCTGTCGTGGGAAAACTAAATGGAAGGTTGCGGTTTGACAGTCACTGTAGGTCGTTCGAAAAGCAGGGAAGTCAGCTTTCTGCCAAGCTGACAGCCTCTCTCGTGGGCTCCCCGACCTTATTCTACTCACGTCTTTGGGTTGTGATCTGTTCTGTCAGGCCAAGAACAGAAGGAGAGGGAGCTGGAGCTGCACTCACCCACTCAGATCGACATCAGCAGAAACCTGAGCTTCATGGCCAGATTCTGGGAGCTGCAGGTGACGCACGGGCCCAGGGAAGCATGGCTTTGCCCATTGGGAGCTGGCTCCTTGCCGAGGAGAGCCGTGGTCTGTACAGCTCTGACCTTCCCAATGCCAGTCTTTAGACTGGAACCTGACGGTCAGTAGAGGGGTGTTTCCTCTGTGCCGTGAGCGACACGTGGCACTGTCGGTCTTGCGCTCATGGCTTTGCAGGCTTAGCTTTGCCATCACCACGGTGTATTTTAAGGCCCCCTCCCAGGCCGGTTCAAAATGGCCCAGTGTCAACAGATGGAGCCCTAGAGAACTCAGGTCCAGAGACTGGGGGTCCCGAATTTAAAAGTGCCCTGAGCCCCAAGTCCAACGACTTAACCCACAGGCAGGGTGACTGGAGCCCTGGGTCTCCTGACAAGAGTGCTGTCAGTCACACTGCTGCTGTTGTACACTCCAGACGAGCCTGAACCCCCACCTGGAGCCTGGCATGCCCCCGAGCATGAAGGTGTCTGTTTGTCCCTTTGACTCTGAGTCTTGTGGCTTTTTGCAGTGGAGGGTGCTATCATTGAGAAGTGATGAGTCAGAGCACAAGTACAGCTCCACGCCGCTGGACTGGGTCACCCTGGACACCAACATCGCTTACTGGCTGCACCCCAAGACCAGTGTGAGTGCAGGGCGTGGGCCAGGTGCGGTCAGAGAGCTGTGGTGTGCCGACACCTCTGGCATTAGGAGCAGCCACTGCGTCTACGTGGTCCTAGCCTTCTCCATAGCCTTTTCTAACAAAAGCCTATGACTTACTTTTCTCTAAGTAGTTTGGCGGCATGAGCCAGTACTCCATCAGATGCCAGGCACTAAGGTCCTAGCATGTCTGCCATCAAAGGAAACCAGGCTGTACTGCTTTTATGGGAGCCCTTTGTTCCCCTTTTCTGGCAAAAGTGGTTCTAAAAATATTCCCGCTTTATGTCCTGTGCAGCGGCTGTTGTCTGAGCCCATCAGAGCTTTGTTTCCATTCATTGCCAGCTCTGCTTCCCAGTAGCACCTCCACAGCACCGCCATGCAGTCCACACTCAGCAGACGGTCACGAGCACGCATGCTGAAACTGCTCCCCTCGCCCCTTCCCGCCCACAGGTGTAGACATGGGGTCACCCATGCAGCAGGGGCTGAAGCGAAGGGGTGGGGGGCAGACCCCGGTCTTCATCCTCGGCTCTGCCTGGCTCCTCTGTGAACACCTCTGGTAGAAAGGAGTCCCATCTATAGCCGGTTTTGTGTTTCAACTTAGACAATTGGGAATCTGACACTTTTCTAGAAAAGGTCTCTTGGGGAGCAGGCACGTCGCGTTAGTAATAAAGGCTGGGGGATCCTAGGGTGTGCCTGGCAGGCACGCAAGCATCCTCACTGGGCCAGCGGCTGACAGTGTCCCTGTGACCCTCAGGCTCAGATCCACCTGCTCGGGAACATCGTGATCTGGGCCTCGGCCGGCCTCGCCACAGTGGCGTACCTCCTTCTGTTCTCCTGGTACCTGCTCAGACGTCGTCGGAGCGCCTGCGGCCTCCCTGAGGGTTCGTGCGGCCTCCCAGCTCGTTCTCAGGCCTCTGGTTCTGACGAGAGTTCTCTGTGCTTCAGGAGCAGGAATCTGCACTTTAAGGCAACCTCTGTGCTTCCTGCACTGGGGCATCTTAAATGTGTTTTTGTCTCCCCAGAGACAAAATACTGCCCTTAAGTGTCCACATTGCATTAGAGGCCTCTCCAGAGAAACGCAGGGAACAGGCAGGAATTGCCCCCGACCCCAGGACAGGGGCAGAGCCTTGGTTCTGGGTTTCCTGTGCACCCTGGACATGGCAGAGAGAGCAGAGCAGCCTGCCGGGATGTAGTCTTTGCGAGTAACAGAAACCCACTTCAAACCACCCTGAAACAGAAAAGGCATCACACAGGGCAGGGCAGGGCTGGCCCAGGGGCCGCCAGGCGTGGCCCCCTTACTCCACTCATCTCCGCAAGCTGGCCTTCCTCCCACTGCCACCCTGCTCCGCTGGGCGGGTGCACAAATACAGCCCCTTCACAGCTGCTGGAGAGGTCAGACCCAGCTCGGAACCCCGGATGAGCCGAGCCCATGGGGAATCCAGAGATGAGCACGCAGAGGCTGGGCCTGGGTGGGGGGGCCGGTGCTGTTCAGAGGACAGGGAGGGCGGGTGCCCAGCAGGAAGCTGTGGGAGGGTCTTAGACTCTGTCCTTCCTCCTGAGATCTTGGGAAGGGTTAGGACGGGGAGGGAGAGAAACAGAACTGAGTTCACCTGTCACATAGAGACAGGTAATCCAGTGCTTCGGACGGGCAGAGCAACCTTACGGACCTGCCCCAGTTAAAGATGGAGATGGCTGGAGATGACCTTTCCCCACAGATTGCTGGCTGCGCTGGGTGCTGGCGGGAGTCCTGTGTGCCGGGGGCTGGGCAGTGAACTACCTCCCCTTCTTCATGATGGAGAAGACACTCTTTCTCTACCACTACCTGCCCGCACTCACCTTCCAAATCCTCCTGCTGCCTGTGGTCTTGCAGCACGTCAGTGACCACCTGTGCAGGTATGCAGGCACAGGGCCTCCGTGGCACGTCACCTGGGGTCATGAAATAAGGATGTCAGTGAGCTAGGGAACAGGCCAAGGTCGTAGAGGAGGTGCAGATAAGGCACCACCGGGGCTCGGGACGGAGCTGTGACTGGCTGGGAGAGGAACAGGCTGGTGTAGATGGGAAATGGGAAGGACACGGATGGCTGGAACAGCAGGAGCAAAGGCCACAAACAGGGCACGTGGGGTGTGCCCCGGGGCAGCCTGTGGCTATTGGCCACATTGCACCGTGTATGTAGAGTAAACCAGAAACTTTGTGAACGGGAACAAAGGCCAGAGGCCAGAGCAGCAGGTGGGGATGTCAGACTGTCAGCAGGGCTGGGATATGGTGATGCTGGGTGTGGGGACAGGGTTGTGTCTGGATGAGAAGCTGTGGAGATTCAGGATGCAGATGGCAGAGGAGGGTCCTGCCTAGGGCTCCTGCTGCGTTGGGAAGGGCTGGCCTCTAAGGTGGGCGGGGAGCAGGTGGCCGCGTGGGTGACAGCTGCTGAGAGGACACGGGTGGAAGGACCGCCGCCCTCAGGCTGTGCTCCACTCCGGTGCCCAGGTCGCGGCTGCAGAGGAGCCTCTTCAGCGCCCTGGTGGTGGCGTGGTTCGCCTGTGCCTGTCACGTGTTCATCATGCTGCGCCCGCTAACCTATGGGGACACAGCGCTCTCACCCGGTGCACTCAGGGCCCTTCGCTGGAAAGATAGCTGGGACATCTTGATCCGAAAACACTAGCAGGACGTGGACATGGTGGAACACGTCTGGGGCCAGGGTCAGGGTGAGGTAGCCTGTCTCTGATAAATACGTTTTGCGAGCAGAGTCAGAGTGGCTCTCAGCGTGCTAGACCGGCAGGCTCAGCAAGGATCCTAATGTTTTCATTCTTGTTAAGTCCTTTGATGGGCAGTTCATTTTTTTGAGGCAGTAAAGAACATGCCCTCTGATTCCTGAGCCCCCTGGACTGTTGAGTGGCTAGTGTAGGACTTAGATGGAGAACAGGCAGGGAATGGCAGCGATGGGGAGAGGGTCACGGCAGACAAGGCCCGTCTTGCTGACAGATGTGCGTGGTGGTTTGGTCCTGCCTCCCAGCACCCACTGAGCTAGAAACATCACAGCCCTTGTCCCAAGTGAGGCCTTGAGGAATCGCCTAGAACAGCCCAGTGTCAGGTAAGCTGCTGGGACGGCAAGCCTTTGATGAGGCAGATGTAGCAGTCTGTGGCCACTGTAGTTGTCACTCCTCGCTGTTGCTGACCCCTAAGACCTCTGTCCCGAGATTTTGCTAAATATGTGCAGTGAGCATCTTCAGTCAAGCTTTGTGTCATCCATACATTCCTTGTCCTAAATTTGCCTTATTTTATGTAATTAAAAAAGGGACAAATTGGCTTTGTATTTGGTGTTATTTATTGATTCTCTCTCCAAAAGGGCACAATAAGCTTGACAAAACTCAGTCATCAGAAACCAGCCACGGAGCTCAGCCAGGCTCAGCTGATGCCACATCTCATGTAACTGCAGTTGCTACTCAGTAGAAGCCAGAAGTGCCGACGTAGTTAGCTGGTGGCGACAGGCCAGGGTCACGTTTACAGAAGCAGCTGCCACATGGGAGGAAAGACAAACCAGAAGACAGACCACAGGGACCACTTGCAAGGCCACGGACGGCAGGTGAGCACAGGGAGGCTGGCTCTGCTCCCACCTCTCCGGGCCAAAGCAAGCCCTGCCCTGAGACAGTGTGCCCTGGACTCAGCCCCAGGATTAGCAGGCAAGGCCTGTCCAGAAGGCACCCTGGGCTCAACTAGGGAGGGAGGCCTGGCTCCATGCGGGACTGCACCTGGTCACTATGGGCCAGCCGGCCTTCTGCCCCACCTGCACGGCCCGGGCAGGCTGGTGGGAGCAGGAGGCCGAATATTCATTTGATGGTTAAAAAAATGGCTTGTTCTCCAGGATTCCTTCCTGGATGCTGCCCGTGTTGCCTGTGCCAGTGGGGAAGAGGCATGTGTACGGCCCCCTCATCACTGCGCACCCACCAGATTAGACCTGTTAGTGGGCCCCAAAACTGGAACAACAGGTTACGAGCAGGGTACAGTAACAGACAGAAACACAAAGCACTTGGACATGTAACACATGAAAAGGGGAAAGCGTTCTCTCCCCGGACTTTTGTTTCAAGTCTATGTCACGTCTATGAACCCAGGTCACTCTAGAAGTGCCTCTCACTGTGCGTTCACTGTCAGACACTGGAACAGCCACCCGTCCAGGCTGTTTCCTCAGTGTTCCCCAAGATACGTGACTTGCTTCTGAGATATTCTGTGACATTTCTCAGTAACCTAGAGACTTAAAACACCCTTCACATGAGGAAGGAGTGCCTGTCGAGTGGAGTTGGGTGTCCCCACATTAGGCGCCTTGACCCCGCCAACTGTATGGGTGCAGGCAGGAAGCAGTGGCTACATTTTTAGAGGTAGGCGGGCATCTCTGGGCCCAGACCCTGAACGTAGGTTTGGGGGACCTGCCCAGAAAGCTGAGCACCTGCTTATCAGTGGGGCCTGCTGCTGGACTCCAAGTGTGACCGTTTGCCTGGGGCCAGCGCTCCAGGATGGTCTCCCGGCTCTGGAAATGTCCTCTTGGAGCTGCGCCCGTCGGACCCCCCTCGGTGCCATTTGCAGATGTCACCGTTCAGAATGTCCTGGATGTGCTGCACGATCAGGTTGATAGCAACTGCAGCAGAGACAAGAGGGGGGTGACCACAGCCACTCCCGTTGGACCGGGTGCCAGCACAGGGGCTGCCCCCCCTCCCCAAGGCGGCCCCCAGCTGGGGTGGCGGCGACCTACTGGCCCCCGAGGTTAGTCTTCCCACCCAGACGCCTGTCGGTATGGAATCTTAGCAGACAGAACACCCACATTAGGGCACGAGCACAGGACTGGCCAGCCTGTAACGAGGAGCCAGTCACAGTATTTTCTGCTAACACGTGATGCCCCGTCAGGCAGTTTCAACATCTAGATCATTTCCCAACTTCCCTGAGCTCTGACATAGGACATCAGTTTAAGGTATACCACCTGTTAAATGCCACGAATGGACACGGGACAGGCCTCCTGCAAGGGTGGCTCATGGTAACCATGGTGGGAGGGGCAGTGGCCGCTCTGTGGCTTGAGGCACACAGAGGAGCCAGGGCAGCTGTCAGGCCTGGTTCTTACCCATGTTGTCAACCCCTCGAGGGATTATCACATCAGCATACTTCTTTGTCTGCAAGGCAAAAAGGAGTCTCATAAGGACTGGCCCCCCGAGGTGACTTCAGGTTGCTCAGTGTCAGGAGGAAGGTAAGCCCTGGGTGCCTAGATGCCTGTGTCACAACAGATGGGACAGGGATTTGGAGGGGTTAAGAACCAGGTGTGAGACAGTAATTCAAGAAGGGAGGCACAAAGCGAAGTTGCAGAGAGAAGAAATGACATTTCTCTCCTGAAATACTCATTGTCCTCGGTCTTTCCTTGCACACCGCTGTAAGTGCAGTTCTCTGCGCCGGCCACTCAGTTCACTGAGCTGAGGGTGGCGCCCTTCCACAGCACAGCTGTTCCTCCTCTGGACTTAGGAGCATTTGTGCAAGAACCCCAGAGAAGGGGTGGGGTGCGGCACGTGTAATCCCGTGACAGCAGAGCTGCCCACCTCACTGCTGCCATTCACCCCCACCCTTGCCTGGTAACACGTGCTCTGCTGGATGAGGGCTAAGGGACAGACCTGGGAACCATTTAGTGTTGTCACTGTGGATTTGGGCCAAGGACGCATGTCGTAAGAGTCACATAGATGGGTGGGACTGAGCCAGGGACAGCTATGTCCACAGGCAGTGGACACCCACATGTGAACATAGGAAGGCCAGGCTGGCTGCCACAGGGCTGCTGGATCTGGTGGGGAGCAGTAGGCAGGCCAAGGGGGACAGGAGAAACGGCAGAGTAGAGGAAGGCCTTAACTGTGGGAGTGGGAGGGGTAACTCCAGGTCAGTTCTCAGGGCTCGGTCCAAGGATGGTACTGCCTTCCACATAGGGTCTCCTGGTCAGATGTAGTGGATATAAAATTAAAAATGTTAAATAGCAGAACTCACTTGTCCTACTTACCTAAAGCAGGGATCCTGTTTCTCGGTTCTTTGTGCTGTACTTTTTACCTCTATGGATATTGTTAAATCCTTTAAAACCATTAAGTCCTATCTGGTTAGAAATGTAAGATGATGGAGAAATGATGGATGGCTGCACAACAGTGAATTCCTTCCCTCTGCAAGCTAGCTAGACCCTCATGCACCAGCCAAGGCAGCCTGGAGAGGCACATGGTATGGATGAACTTTTAAGTGCCTGTAACATGCCAGACGCCATTTCTGGCAGTGAACAAAGAAAGTGTCTGTCCTTGTGGAGTTCACCATTCTCAGGTCGGGGGGAGGGGTAAGCAAGGTGGGCAGCGCACCTCAGGCAGCGGGAGGCACCCTAGAGAAACGGCAGGCCGGGACCCAGGCCGGTGCAGACGGTGTGGGCTGTGGGGCTGTGGGGGACGGGGCTCGCCCAGAGGGCACCTGTGGAGCTGAGAACTATTCCCTGGGTACTGGGGTACGAGCTAAATTCCTCATTTATAAATCAGACCGTGTCATCCACGACTCAGCTCTTAGAACTGTGCACCGTGCAACCTCTTGAAAAGGGAGAAAAAGAAGGAGGCTCCTGAGTCAGTGAAAGGCGCTACCGGCAGGCAGAACTCCTCGAAGGCTGGCTTCACGAAGGTGGTGTACTGCGTGAGAATCTGCTCCAGGTCCCGCCCGCGGTGCACGTCTCGGAGAACTGCAGCAACAGGGGCAAGGCGGTGACCTTCAGGCCTTGGGGCTCCAACAGCCCCAGCCTGGGGCAGAGAGGCCCGCGTCCACCTCACCTCTTCTCGACAGCCTGACGTCAGAGTCGGTGTCCACAAAGAGGCGCAGGTGGAACATGTCCCGGACCTCCTGGCTGTAGAATACCAAGATGCCCTCAAACAGGACCACGTCTGCAGGGTAGACCACCGTGGTCTCTGGTAACCTGGAGGCGAGGCCAGGAAACGTGCAGTGCTGGATACATGGGCCCCCCTCCCAGGGCCACACAGCCAGCTCCAGTCCTTAAGCACTGACTCTGTGGCGGGGACAGACCATGTTGGGAAGAGGATTGTCGGCAGAAGCCAGAGGGCAGGGCCAGCTGTGGGCCAGTCTGTGGGAGCTCCCAGTGCACAGCCCCTCTCCTGGGAGCCACCACTCACCTTGAGTGGGTCACAAAATCGTAAGTTGGGACCTCGACAGTTTTGCCATCCACAATGTTTTGCAGAGTCCTGTGCATCAGATCGTTATCAAAAGCATCTGCAGGAATGGAACAAGGCAAGACAGAGCAGGCATTCCTGTGCTGGGGAAAGGAGGACACTTCCTGGGTGCGTGTGGTTCCAACAACCCTAAGGAACATTTGGACTGGGAGCTGCCCCTTTGGTTTCCATTTGCAGGGCCCTCTGCTGTCTGCAAACCACAGGACACACATGTTCTTGCTGCCCCTGGGGAGTGCCCACTGCCCAGGCTGTTGTCCCACCCAGAAGTTTAAACACAGGAACTTCCCGATCCATCTGTGCTGGAAGGTAGGTGGGTTAGACATCTGTTTCTATTTCTGGGGAATAACCACAGTCGGACACTTCTTGGGCCCTCTTCCCCTGTGTCCCCAGGGAAGGAAGGAGGGTGGCAGCCAGCCATGGAGTGGACGCCTCTTCACGGCAAGGGCAGGCTGGCTCTTCCCCTCCCCCACCCCACCTCCACCGAGCCCTGGCATGGCCAGACCAGGCAGTGGAGCTTCAGGGCCTCTCATTTACCCACTGCTGGGACTCCGACCTAGGACAGGGGAGAATGAAAGGCCACAGCAAACAGTGGTGTGCAAACGGTCCTGAACAGCTAGAAAAGGAGTGGATTTCTCCATGACCATAGTTGTGGTGACAGCAGTGGTCCTAAAGGCCCCTTGTGCCAAGGGTCCAGGGAGCTGGCAAAGAAAGCCCTTCTGACTTGGCCACACAGCTTGCTCCGCCACCAGCTCTCTGGGACAGTTCGTGGGACCATTCAAGTCATCTCCATCGCTGTCCAACCCTGGACCCCCTACCCTATCCTCAGGGTCTCTATATCTACCTGGGTGGTCGAAATTGTACTGTCCCTTCAAGGCCTTGGCCTTCTGTTCTGCGGTCAGGACCTTATAGAAGCTGTCTTGGCTCAGGATGACCAGCTTCCGCTGGCGGTGGTCTACTTCGTTCTGTCCCAGCAGCTCCATGATCTTCTCACACACAGTTGACTGGGAATACAGAAATACGATGCCCCGCCTGGGGCCGCTCATCCCGCCACGGGCGCGGCGCCTCTCCTGGGCGTTTCT